CGCATCTGTAGTCACCATCTTTGCCACTCCATTGCTCCCTTTCTCCTTGTACCTAAGTTTGTAGCCAGTAATCCTGCCGTTCGCAGTTCCTTCCGGCGGCGGCTCCCATCTCACTACGATACTCTGGAAGGAAGAAGTCAAGCAATAAGAACTTTTTGCGCATTCCTCAAATGACGACGAAACAAACAGCTCGATTTAATAAAATTAAATTAAAAAGTGCGATTATGTAATTATTCACAATTCTCTTTCAAGAAACGTGCCAGATCATGAAAACGTTAGCTCCAGATCCCCTCCAAATTTCATTCGTGAAATCTAGAATAAAAGGCGAAAGATGAAGACTTACATCGTAGTAATAAAATAAAAGTAAAAAAAACATTCAGAAATTAGGAAAACAATGTTCAACCCTAGCTTCAACACCGGAACAGTTTTCATCCACCAGAAACATTTTGTTGGCAGCCGACAGAAACTTCCGTTTTTTCCTGCATGAAGAACGTTTTTCATGCAATTTATCATATAAAAAAATCTGTGGTGACCCGAGTCCATTGCGCAAAAAATCCATCACCAGCGGTATTAGTGCTGTACTGAACATCGAATACAATTACTCGAGTATTTACTCCGTATTTACTCGAGTACCACGCGCAATTTTTTTTCCCTTCAAAATTTCGTAAAAAGGGGGTGCGCGTCAAGATGGGGATAAAATTGTCAAAAATGTTAGACGTTTAGGAGTGCGTCACACTTGAATATAATGAGAAAATGTCGACAATAACTTTAATAGAATTTTTAAAAAGCAAAATTCATTGAATTCAGGGTGAATTCGTGTTAAAATTTGAATTCTGGTATCTCTTATTTTTGGAACTTTATAATTCATCAGTCACTAAAAAGGATGTGCGTCTCTTACACGGGGATGGGATTTCATTAGAATTTTATGGTGAAGTGCGTGTCTTTCACGTTACTAGAGTAAATACTGTACGGTACATAAATCCGATTATGCTCACCTTCGAACTTGCAGCTTCCGCCGTGAAATTCTGAGGCGCCTCCGAAGGAACATCCGAAAAGGTTCTCACAGTCACGTCTTCCGCAGCTGTTCGGGAATTTCCTCCTCCAATCCCGACCCAAACCGTGTACATCGTATAAGGCCTAAGATTTCGGAGTATGAAAAACGGGTCAAACGTTGTCGCCAGCTTCTCCTCGGCGGCGTCTTCGGCCATGTAGGACAAGAAATATTCCGTCCGACCGCCATTCGCCGATGATGGCGCCCAATCCACTCGCACCGACGTGCTGTCCAAGGCTACGGCTCTCACGTTGAACGGCTTCACGCTCGGGGGCCCGAATCCAGACAATTCCGGAGCTGGCCCAGAGTCGAACACAGATGGCTGGGTTTTCGTCACGATGGATGCCGGGGAACCGACGGGATTTGAATCGGCTCCGACGGCAACGACGCGGATGTCATACCGCTGATCGGGTATCAAATCGTGCAGAAGAACTTCCGGCTTCGTCGCATTCTTTTCTCGCTCCCTTTGATCAAAAGAAAAATAAAATGCGTCAGGAAATTCGTCATATATAGGTCAAAATGAAAAAAAAATGTTTTTATGCCAGCAACATCTAAAGCAGAAAAACCTTTGAACTTGAATCATGCTGAGTTTTTTGGAGCTTACGCAATCAGGAAATTCGTGGAAACAAAAATCATTTTTAAACAGCGACGCATAAACAGTAGAAAAAAAAATTTTGAGGAGCGACGTTCTTTCGGCTTCTTCCCATAAACTTGTTCCCTTCCTCAAAAAAATAGAGCATAAAATATTTCAGGAAATCCACCATGCGCAGGATTGAACGGAAGTTGGTGGTCGCAATTTTCCTCATGTCCTGAATTAAATTTAAGCTTATCCTCCATAGTTTATACAGTGAAGTATATTCCATTCGGTGGTTGATAATGCCATAGAAAAAATGGAAGGATTGGTCAGAAATATGTTCTTTTTTCTCGGGGATGATCAAACGAAATACAGTACAGTTTTTAAGCATTATCTTCAATATATTTACGTACCGAGGGGAAAAGAAACTTTTATAAAACTTAACAGAAATAAAACAATCGGAAATCACGTTCGCGAAAAAAATGCGGGGAACACACTGCTGTTTTAAAATGTGAATGGAGGTGACGATTACATTGTTCGAAGTAACAATGACTCATTCCCGCATTTTCATGGATAAATCTGGACCACGCTGTGAATTAGGCCATGTAGCGACACCCCAATCTCATGATAATCCAACCGATAAGCCCATGACTATTGTTACGAACGGTCACTATCTCAGAATTCTTGTTCGCTTGTATGGGGAAAAAAAAGAAGTAGGGAATTACCTTCCCTTCTTTATCGTGTATTATTTTGCCCCTCCAATCATGAAAGTCAAGTCAAATCTTACCGATTCGATCCATGTTCCTTGTAGAAGACAAGGTAGCCAACAACATCGCCTTCTCGAGCACGTTCCGGTGGATCCCATCGAAGAGCAATGAAACGCACATTGACCGGGCCAGCCCTCAAGTTCCTCGGGGACAAAGACTCTGCCTCATCGACGCGTCGAACTTCTTCCAATTCTTCATCCTCTTCCCGAACTGAATCAGGAAATCAACACGGTCAATAAAAATCAAGGACATTCGAAAGAAGAAAATTGTGTCCATTTGATGAAAAAAAAAAGGTTTCCGAATCCGGTGTCCGTATTTACGCGAATATAGGACACTGCACATTCTCGTGCACGCTCAAACATTTTTTCTAAAAGATAGTTCAGCACTCGGCAGTGAATCGAACTCGCATTTTCAATTGACCCGCATTGTGCCAGCCAGTCTAATTGATACTGTAGTGGATATAAATATGCAAGAATGTTTATTTTTTTAAAGTTCTCCTCAAACATACTTGTAATACGTTGCGATGACCTGCTTTAATTGAAGATTGTTTTCTTGATTGAAGAATATTGCGATGACAACATCACGATCTTCTTGATCACTACGTTATTTCGAGAAAAATAACGAAACAATTTTTAAATGTTCATGTTTTGTACTTCCGTATTTTTTTAAAAACACGGTCAACATTTCTTCTAGAGACAAAAAATTGTGAGAAAATAAAGATCGTATTTATTTATTTTTCTGTAGAGGAAATTAACTTTGACGGCAATATCATGACTAATAAGTCCCTTCGAAAAATTCCTGGGATAAAAGAAGTTGCGAGCTGCCTCAGGTTTGTACTACGGATTTTCCGCATTTCGTCGTTATGGACTATTTTTCTCAAAGAGAAAATTCTGAGAATATAGTGTAGTCAAGTCTCAGTCAGATTAGAGAACCAAGTGTAGAAAACCAAGCCACGAGATGGGTTACGCCATCGCCATCATCCGTGTACCGCCAAGACACTTGGGATACACGGATGATGGCATGGGCTACTATAGGAATACATCCCAGGAAATGGTGCATTCATTCCAGGAAGCTAGGCATCCGTGGAAAAAGAATATTCAAGGAAAATCCAGTTCTTTCTTTTTCAAGTTTTGAAAACATTATAGTGGTTTCATTTCTTCAATTCAAATAAAGTGACCCACCAAAAGTGGGGAAAATGGCATGAATAGGGGCTGGGGGAATAAGGGGATTTAGTAGCCAGGAGGCAGGAGGTGGGTTACGCCATCGTCCGTACGCCGTCTTGGTTTCGCGAAAATGCATACAGCCTTGTCTTGATCAAGAGTAATTCTGACCTTGTTGCGTGCATTTACAAGCAACTCAAGGCTTGTTCGAAACTTAACTTCTTCAAATCAATCAGAAAATCATAATCGCGGCTTTGATGAAGATACTGCACTCACCGGTATCAAAGTTTCCAGAAGATGCACTGGAAACAATGAGTCGCGCAGAAACTTGAGCGTTTCCTGCATCATTAGAAGCGAAGCACTGGTAAACGCCAGAATCCGCAGGCAACAAACCGAAAATTTTCAGATTCCTTCCGTTTACAATCTGACAAAAAAAAACGAAATCGTCAAGTGATAACAAATCATCCAAGGAGGGCTCGAGATAAACTCGCGGGCGATTCGAGACTTTAACAACCTTCAAGTAATGAGACAATTTAAAAATAGAAACGTTACTGATGCAGTATATGCTCAAATATACGCAGACAGATAAAAACGCGCGAGGAAATCGAGACAAACCTGAAAATAGTCGCTTTCTGTGAAACCCTCGCCATTTTTGAACCACTGAATTGTTGGTGTGGGATGTCCAGCAGCCCCACAAGCGAGTTCCACGTCGCCCTTTTCTTTCGCTTCCGTACTTTGGGGAGTGCGGGTAAATTTCGGCGCCTCTGCAATGAAATTGATACGAAAAATTCAGAAACAACATACAAACAAAAAAATTCCACGGAAACGAGAACAGCAGGTAAGCGCTGTAATGCTCCATGATAGACCAAGAATCGATTCACATTTGTTTTCAAGACCAATACCTCTTGAATGTTTATTACAGTATTGCCACGAAAAAAAAAAATGAAAAATTACAGTGTGTTCAAATCCTTCTGGATGATGTTCATATTTTTCCAGTCACACTTGAACCTCGATAACTCGAACCTCCTTACGTCGAATCCCTTTCAATGTCCTTTTTTTTCAAGTCTCCGTATGAAGCAATGCATTAAAAACATATCTAACTCGAAGGATTTTCCTCTCAAACCTCTGTAACTAGAATTTTCTGTAGTCTTTCGAATATTGTTTCGACGCAGGAACGAGACAAGTAATAAAAGAGAAACTCCATGTGTTTTGAAACGAAATGAAAGACAAATGAACCCTTGCCTTCAAGTTCAGCATCCTGCCAACTCATTTCATACGCATTTTAAAGCCAAAAATACTGTATCACCAATTAAAATACCCTGAAAATTCATCTTTCTTTCCCACCAAAAATGTTTGTTTCCCTAATTTGAAACCTCTCCAACTCGAACTTTCTTGTTGGTTCTCTGAAATTCGACTTGAAAAGGTTTGACTGTACCTTCGAACGAAAAGCAATCACACATTCCAGGACGCAACAAAAAAATTTATAATATCTCATCTGCGATGTAAAAAGTGTGATCAATGATCCCAGAATTCATTGAAGAAGAGGAAAAACGAAAGAATGTACCGTACTTGCTCGAGGAATCGAATTACCTCGACAGAAAATATCAAAAATTCCGACCTTGAGAGGAAGACAATAGAACACAATACTGTAACACGATACAAGTCACACAAAGGGAGGCGGATACAATTCTCCGCGTGCTCGCGAGATCAAATTCAACTGTCCAATCCTGCACTTCCATTAAAAAAATACTCTACTGTGCGAGTACTTCATTAAAAAAATCGCACACAGCAGCAGTCTCAATTTTAAAATGAATTCATCCGCAACGTTTTTTTTTTTCAATTCCGAATACAGTACATGTAATGACTTTCTTCCACCTTAACGGCCCGCTATTGTATTACTGTATAAGCAGAACCGAAATGCTGAAATTAAACCGTACATGGAACATAGAATTACATCAACACATTCTGGTACTGTGCTACAGTACTTGTACGTTAGATTCCCGACGCAACGCATATGTAGGAGTCACCTCAAAATCGAGCGATTAAACCTCATAAAGCAGAACACAGTCTACGCTGCATCAATTAAACATAAGGAAGAGTTGGATAATTGTAGGAGAAAACCGAATACAGTAATACGGATTATTATTAATGATTCGGGACATCGGGGAAATTACAGACTCCCGCCAAACGAAATATAACTTAGGAATCTTCATTATTGCTACATGTAATAAGGTTAATGAACTCGGCCCGTTATCTGCCGATAATTTCAGTACAACTCCCTCCTTTCAGTAGGATTCATAGAACGTTCATACAGTAGACTAGTACAGTACAGTACTTCGTTTCTAAAAAAGTTTCAACGTAGGGCGTCTATTGGGCAATAAAGTAAGTCATTCTTAATTATTTTAAAGAATTTAGCCATTAAATAGCCCATATAAAGGTTTCACCGTATTATTGTTCCTTTGAGCATCGTAAATGCATTTACTTTACATCCGCACGTACACTACTGGAAAAATTAGGGCATGTTAAAAAAACCATGGAATTATGACAATGCTGTATTTAAATTATTCGGGCCAGAAAAAGTGTACAGTATTTGTCAAATAAGTAACTAAAACATTATATCCGCAATATATGGATTTTCAAAACTCTCAAACAAGAACAATGCGTGTAAACATGAAGAAAAATACACGACTTCTATCCGGTTACACTTCACCGGTATCTACGATGACCAGGCTTATCTCAAGATATTCTATATCCACTGAAACTCAAGAACTAAGAAGGAAACCTTCTACGACATCTTTCTTCAATCCGAGGATCAAAGGTAAAACTGGCAATCACAAAATTTGAAAGTACTTGAGATAATGCGATATCTATCAATAAAAACTAAATGTACGCTCTAAAATGGCTAATTCCCCCAATACGAACAGCAACTTTCTGGGGTTACAATCATACGTGACTGAAAATTCCTCGTTTCCTTTACGTCCTGGAAATCTTCGTCGGAAATTTCATTTTTATTTTATTTTTTATACAGGTGGATTCTCTGCAATGAGCTTGTCTACAAAAATTTCCTCTTTAGAAAAAATGTTGTTGGTCCCATATACAGAGGGTTCTCTCCCCATGTTATAGGCGTTCTCTACAAAGAAATTCTCTCTAGAAAGAATTGTTTCCAGGTCCCTTGAAAAAATTTGAACTTTTCGAAGAGAAAGTCCTATTGTAAGGTCCACAACTTTAAAGAAAAAAATAGGGCACACAACTTTTCCTCCCTAAAATGCTGGCTACTCAAAATCTGAATGTGGCATGTGCACAAAACGGTCTACACAGGTAGACTCTCACTACAACGATTTTTTTCTAGCCCCCTGAACTTTGCTGCACAGAACCCCTAAAACATGGGTAGAGAACCCTATGCCTATAAAATATAACTAAACAGAGAAACTTGTTGAGAAGATGCGCGTAGAAAGAGTCTACCTGTTTTTTTTTTTTTTTTACAGAGAACCCATATAACGTAGGTAGTGAATTCTCCCAAGATTTTCCTGGTCCCATATTTTCGTGCTATACAACGGAATTATGCCCACAACGAATTTTGTACTATCTCCAAACTCTCCATACATGATGTATTGTATGAATTTTTAAGAAGAAAAAAATACGATCTTAACAAATAGTGTTCTCTGTCCAGGAACTTTTTTGTGTCCAATAGGGTTCTCTACAAGAAAATTCTCGAACAAATTTTTCAAGTACCCTGAATTAAAAAAAATCCTAGTGATGAGAATTCTCAATTTCGAAATTCTCCCATAAATTTTTGAAGGCCCCTGAATTTTGGAAAAAAATGCATTAAAGAATCCTAGCGATGAGAATTCTGTTGCAGGGAACCCATGTTACATGGGCAGAGAACCCTATTGGACCACACACAAAAAAAGTCGTTAGAAAGAGAAAAATCGTTGTACAGAGTCTTCTTGTACTGTACATGATGGTACATTATTCAACAACGAATAATTGCTCTGACTCCTCGTGATTTAAAGCAGGGCGCCCAGAAAAGAATTGTACACGTAAGAAAGAAAATGAAAAAAACGAGTTGAACCATTGAGGCAGCAACAAACCAAAAAAAAGAAAGAAAAGAAACGAACAACGCTCAGCGACAAAATAACTCACCGAGTATTTCGAGGCGTGCAGGAGCATCCACGGAATCCACCGTGTTCTCGGCGCGGCAGTAATAATCACCCACATCAACCTCTGTCACGCTTCGCAGTCGTAAGCTCCCTCCCGGCGTCACGTCGAACCTCGAGCCCCTGCAACATTCAAATACACACACACATATATACAGTATATACTGTACAACATACACACACACACAGGAACGTGAAAACCCGTCGTCGACTTATTCCGGGACTGGGTACGACCCGCTGAAGGAAAACATAACGATTTATCCTCCTTCCTTCTTTCCCCTTGCTCGGTTCCGGGAACACACGAGGACACGACAGACAGTATTGTCATTGTCTTCGTTAACTTTAAAGGAACGGGGTAAGAAAAGACGCAGAAAAATACTGTAGTTGGGTCGCGTACCGGAGATCGAACTCAAGAACATTTCAGTCCAAAACGGTAAGCCCTTAAATCCCCTTTGTAGTTGGGTCAGCGCGCCACCCAAAAAGTCCAGCTTAATTCTTCTGTGATTTCTTGAAACGGACGGCAGCTTTCCATGAATTTTGGCGCAATACAAATTTTTTAAACTCTTCGAGTTTTTAAAATGAATACCAGTTGGGTCGCCACTGATTTGACCTCAATAATCGGCATTATCCTAGCTTACAGCTTGCACCCATGCCGAACAAGTTTTCAGGGTCAGATGAGTCCATGGAGTCTAGGTATGCTTCAGATTCCAGGCTAATCTCAAAACATTTTTGAAATAATTCAAGATTCAAGCCATGTCACTCGAAAAAAAAATCGCTTTGGAATTCGCGTAATTTTCTCGTAGAATCCTCTTCTATTCAAAGGACTGAGTACGTCAGGCTACTCTGTAAATACAGGACGTCAACGAATATGATAAACAACTTGAATTTTTTAACAAATAAAAGTTCATATACAGTATTTCACTTTTCGGGGTAATACAGGGTAAGGAGTCGGTGATCAAGACTCGCGAAGTCAGCGATTCAGAAAATGAGCGTACCCGGATTTTCAGACACTCTGATCAACGATAAAAATGGGTCAAATTTAAAACTACTGTATGCAATCAATTTGATTCCAAATTAATTTATGCTGTTTTTGCATTGCGGTACATTTATTTTGAATAATCCAGTCTGGATTAAAAATGCATGACCATGAACAGATAACGACATACAGAACTTAGCATACAATGAGGCATCATTAACTTTCAAAACGAATGAAAATACAGTACTGAGTATTCTAAAAGAAAAAATACAGTACACATTATAAGATAAATGAGCGATAAAATACGAACTCACTTTTTTTTAAACATGCTTATGTCATTATAAATAATAAAGCCCCGATTTTTTGGATTGAAAAAAAAACTCCATGTCCCAGTCTTATTTCGGGCAAAACGGCGCAATTCAGTTGTTTTCTGAGGGAATCCAAGCGAATTATATGTTCGGAGGAAAAAGTACTAGCTGATTCTAACCTGAATCAACCTTAAGCAATTATTCCAAGATCAGCCCAAACGATTGAAACAAAGCCGACAATCGCGTCGTTGAATGCCTTCTGGCGGCCCATATGTAAATATTGATTCCCTGCCTAGTAACCACAGGAAGAATTCTTTTTTGGCACTTCCATTGAACCAAACGGAAATGCGCAGTTACGACAAAAGTTCACGGTCAGTCACGCAAGTACTGTACTGTACTTCACTTTATCAAGGCACATTTTTTTTTCTTTTTATTCCGTCACACGGGAATGCAACTGATACGTCTATATCAAAAGCTCGTTTCGGTCACTACGAATCAAATTTCGGCCGATTTTCTCCGTAACTTTATGCATTCACAGCTAATCGAACAAATAAGGCACTGTAACGAGAAAAATGTGGGGAATAAAGCAATAAACTGATGAGGAGCCTGGATGGGGGTGAAAATCCGCCGCGAATTTTTTTGCAGAAACCAGCTTGAAAAATACAGCATAGATAAAATCTGCAGGAGGTAATTCAGTGCCAAATTATCCCAACATTCGGATTTTAATTCTAGTTCCACTATTTCATTTCTATTAGTGTTCAATACTGTAGAAGTGTAGATATTTCTGCTATGAATAAAAATGCGGCGCCAAAACGACCGAGAGAACGATCCAAGTACAGTTGGCACCAAAAAAGTCCAAAATTGAACAAAAAAAAAAACGATAAACGACGCAAGTTTAGACGAAGCTTCTGTGAATGTCGATTTCTGACGGTTAAAATGCACTCGGAATTTCGATGAATAAAATTGCGTCGGGTAATTTTTACGGAGAGCTGGTCCGGAAAATATTTTCAAGGAGACTGCCCAAGTAACATTTATTACTGTCCGAAAGAGGAATAATTTTCTCCCAGGTAACGATTTCAGCATGAAATCCGAATAATAAAAAATAATGCACGGTCAATTATTCAATACTGAATAAATTATTCGGTTGTATAATTTTTCCATCAGTCTGACGGGAATGTAACTGATAATCCACCATTAGAATCTTTCTCCTCGCTTTCTAAACCCGTGAATGTGACTTCAATACATTTTCTACTACATCTCCCTGCTGAAATCTTGAATAATTGACAAAACAATGTTGGGAATTCCGCAGTAATCTCGTTCATCGACATTTTTGGGAGAAATCCAAGAAACCTGACCGAAGTTCAAACTAAGGCTACTCTTTGTTTCCTCTGATTTCTCCAATCGAAAAAACAATAAAAGTCAATTTAAAGTAGTCGAAAAAAAGAGAATAAGGTCTAAGGAATTTTTACCAGATTGATTAACGATTATAATTTCATGCCATGAATTGTGTTTTTATTATGACCGGGAAAAAAATGTTGAGAACAACCTTGAATTGTTATCACTCTCAGAGTAATGTTCCGCTGATGTAACTTCAGTTTGCAAATGAACAATACGGAGAGAAATGCGAAAATCAAGCTCAACAAAATCATTCTCGAGAAAAAAGCAGAGAATCGGTTTGCAAAATGCAATTCGGTATCATTTTCAGCTTTCGATCCGCGCAATTTCGGACATGCGCTACTCTGGACGCGCTCAACTGCTCAGTCACAGAAAAACTTGATTCCTAATCCTGGGAAATTTTGCTCATTAACCCGAAATTCTTTGCGGAATCATACTACGCGCTTGACGAGATCTGTGTTCGAGACAAATACAGTTGAACCTCGCCAAGTCGAACCTCCCGAAGTCGAATACCTCTTCAACACGAATACTGTACCTCCATTAGTCCAATTTTTTTTAGTCCCATCTGAATTCCCTTAGAAATAATGCATGAAAAACCTCCCTAAATCGAAGGCTTTTCCTGTAAAACCTCCAAAAGTCGAATTTTTGAGGCCTTTAGGTTATCATGTTATTGGAACAGGAATAAAAAAAAACAATGAAAAATATAATTATATTTGCTGTGACAGAATGTGACAGACTAAATTGGGAAAATGAACCCTTGTTTGCAAGTTGAGTGCCTCTGTCAACTCATTTTAGAAGCAACTTGAGGCCCAGAATATCACGAAGTAAAATTTAGTGCAATTCATCAATGTTTCCCACAATAAAAATGCTTGATTCTATAACTAAAATATGTATAATTCTATATAACTCAAAACCTCTTCAAGTCCAATTTTTGCTGGTCCCTTGAAATTCGACTCAGCAAGCAAATAAAATCAAAGAGACAATAATACGACATAAAAAAAGCAAGTCGCGACAACGCAAGCAAAACAAGGGACGCGTTTCTCGTACGATGGATTCCTACGGTTACATACACGAGGGTAACGGGCCGACGACAAGTTTCCGGCTCAGATTTGTTCTCCATTCCTCCCCTCCATGCAAAAAAGGAGTTTCTCAAAAGTCAAGCGAAATCACAGAAAAAAATATCACCACGGTTTCATGGATGGTCATGAAGCGTTTTTTCCTCACGGCTACTCAATTGGAGAAACAAAAAATAAAATAAAAGGCTCAATTTGAAAATTACGAAGTATGCATGCCATTTTTTTTCCTTTTAAAGACTTTCAAGGACTCAGAACTTAGGCGTTTTAGAAGGGATGCCTGGTTAATTGAAATTATATTTGAACAGCATTTCTAACAATATTAAATTTTTATCACGAATAAAAATCGAACCCAGGTTGCATATCGCACTTGAACCTTCATAAGTCGAACCTTAAGGGACTCGAAAAAAATTGAAAAGAGTTCTCGAGTTAGAAAATAAGGGTACATTAAAATGTAAAAAAATTCTGTATGGCCAAATCATTAAAACTTTTCATTATACAGTACATAAATGCCCTACCTGCAGGAAGATGTGTAATACCTTTGTGGAGAGCAAAAAGAAAATAATGTAATGTACTGTACATCTGCTTTTATTTCCTGAAAAATGTGTTCTGAAATACGGCCTAATTCAATGACAAAAAAATCTTGGAAATTATACCAAGGGAGTTTTGAGTTAACGAGGTTCAAATTGCATTACCGTAGAATTTCGTCACAATGAAGCATTTGAGAACTTCAAAAAGCTTCGTTATCAATAACAATTCGTCAAAAATAAATTAAAATACTGTACAGTAAAATCTCGTCACAACGAAAGCCTGCGTGACAAGTTGAATAGCTTCGTTACAAGAGAAACATTCGTTGTAAACAAACTCTAATAACATCGTGGCTATTGGGCAGGGATATAAACAACGAAGTCGTCGTAATCGATTGTCATAACGCGATTCGTGTGGAAACGAGTTTCTACCGTAGCATTGTGGATATTTGACAGGGACAAAAAAAAAAACAAATAAATTCGCTGTGAGCATTAATCAATCGTAAGAAGATTTCACTTCATAAATTAACGGTATTGGCCAGGGACTAACTCGAAATTCGAACATAGGAAATTTTCGACTCGGCCAAGTGCAACAATACAGTCCAGCACCGTAATCAAAATGCAAATTCGCCAAGGACTCGCACAACTTTTGGGAAACACCTGGTGTACGTGTACGGAATTACACACACACACACACACCGCAAACCCACGGATGGCTGGAAATATCCCAAGCTGGGCTGAGGGTCCGGATTTTTTACGTGCCTTCGCCTTCCTGGCTTCTTACGTTTGACGAGTTGACGAGATCTGCCAGCGCATCTGTTTCACGTTCGCGCGAATCCCCGTTTTGTTTACGCTTTTCCCCTGTATCTTCGGAATGTCCCAAGTGAGCAGCAGGAATTCTCGGTAGAGGTTTTGCAGATGAGCTTGTCGGAAATGAGTCCCAAGTATGAATCTTACTACTGACTTTATGAACTGCGCTCCCCGTTTAGGATTTGACAACCGTTCGCGTAAAATAATACTGTAAAAATACTGTAAAAAGGTGCTTCGGTTAATCGTTGCTGGACTCTCGGCATCTCAATCGGAAGTCAATCCTCAAAAAATTCTATAAACCCCGTAGCGTTACGCTACACAAAATGGATATTTCTTTCAGATCCCTCGGATATTTTCTTGATAAATGTCTCAAAAAACACGTGCCTGGCAGGAATTATGAAAATTCAGCAAAATTTAGAAAGGAGGAAAGCGAAGCTCAGCAGAATAAAATACAGTATATCCAAAAACTTTCTGTGCACCCAGAAAAAAATTTGAGCTGACGGCCAGAACCCCAACAGCAACTTCCATATTTTTTTGAAGCATCGAACGACAATCTTTTTTCCTGATATATATCGATACATATATTATCATGAGCAATTGATCGGAGGCCATCAACGTAATTTGTGTAGCAAAAAAAAACTACTTTACAAGGAGTTCTTCGTAAGCCATAAATAACATTGCGGCTACCCTGCAGTGACCTTAAAATGCTTTGTAACGAGATTATACCTGAAAATACATTTTATGACACTGTAAGGCACAATCCATTACAGGTCGACCGTCACTTCCCTAGCGATAAACCAGAGAAACCTGGACAGGGTGGTCCAAAAAAAAAGCGTCGGTTTTTGATCGGAATATCTTTCAAAGCTGAATAAATTACAAGGACTGAATGCAAATATACTTCAAGTTTCAATCCAGTAGACTTCAGCAAAGAAGAAAAATTGAGACAATCATGTCAATTTGAAGAAAGAAAAAAAGACCCCCGGGGAACTTTTTGATTGTATGCTTTATTTTTTCACCAAGATTGATCGGCGCTAGACAATCAGTCCATAGCAAGCTTGCACTTCTCTATGCTGGAAAGGAATTCAATAAGGTACTGAGACATTACATTTATCACCTAAAGGGATTTATATTTCAAAATTTAGATCAGTACATGAAGAACCGTTTTGCCTAGAATTCTAGGACTCGAACTACTGTATTCAAACACCCGTTTCGGTTATTCATCAGTCAAATTCGAATGAAGAATGGTGGCTTTTTCACGACATTGAAGTACTGCTCAGTACTTATTTACAGATTTTTTGTAGAATTGAGGCAATCAAGCCTCCTTTCGGATGAATTGCGGATACAGGAAACCAACTGATTAATCCAAAATTGATTCCCGTTCATCAATATTTGTTTCTCCGTCCGTGTTACAAGTCCTAAAATTTTATCCACAATCTATGAATAATATGAATAACTATGAATAAGAAAGCGCAAAATGAAAACACAAAAACAATGGATTTGGCAAAGGGGAAAAAAGAGATCGCGAACTTGTTTTAACCCCTCGAACAAAAAATAATTTTGAAGCTTAGTCGATCAATGAAAGATTGACCGAGAGATTGTTAGAAAGGAACCTTATCGGTGGAAAATGTAAAATCCGTATACATCGTGCTCGATGGAATCCGAAAATTCGTTATCGGGGGAATTGCGCGGCTTTTCAGCCCAGAATCCGGGACACTCGCTTACATTACACCACTTCCCACACATGGCCAAAAATACAAACATTCATTCGCTTTTCGTCCTTGTCAGAGAATTTTAAAAATATCCCCGACAGAACACTTCGAACATATTTCCTCATTATATTCACTTGAGACGCTGGAATAGTTAAAAAGGTGGAATCACAAAAATCACACGCGATGGAAAAATCCAACAGCGGTAAATATCAGCAACAACCAAGGCGTTTGGATTCACAATTCGCATATCTGAAATGTTTTCGAGGAATTTCAACAATTTTGAATACTCTTCCTATAAAAAAAACGGCCCTCGACAGTTCTTGCCAAAAATGTATGTTAAATAGATCAACCGGATTGTGAAGCTAAAAAACAAGTAAAATTTTGTTTCCATTCGAAGTTATTCGGGCATTTGATTAGCCATTTTTCAAGATTCCTATTTGAGCGTACATTTTTACTGAAGTTTCAGATAATAACACTAACAATTGATCAAGAAATCTCGACGACTCCAAGCTTTTTTGAGTTAAAAAAAAAACAAGACGTCAAATAAGAACCTCTTGAAAATGTACTTGGGGAATCTCTCGAGATTAGGATGAGCATTTGCAATGTTTAATGTAGTTTGTTAGAGATTGTTCAGAGCTGAAGTGCGGTACTGTGCCTGTAGATAAAATGCGGCTGAAAAACGATTCATTCTCTCGATAATCTTGCCCAAGTTAACTTTTACCAAGCTTAGCAAGTGGATTTTCCAGCTGCCATCTTCCACAGATCAGAACATTTTATTGCAATCTGATTTGATTACGCAATGACAGGCCGCGCCGCAAGACATTTCGAAGAAAAAACCTGCCCCATTGAAATTTAATAATTGGAGATACAGTACAGTAATTTTTCTTTCTACGAACGTTGCACTTAATGCAGACTCATTCTAGGTGATATGGAAAACACAAGAATACCTCTGGTAAAAGCTTCACTACTATTTATTTTAAACTTCGGGAGAAAAATGATGCATATCGTTGAGTGAAGACAGTACTGTATATTCCTTTATATATGACAACAACGCATCCTAAATGTTTCCATGTGACCAATGACAAATATGAACAAAGTATCCTCCCAAGTTCAGCTATTTTTATTTCATCTTTCTAATACTTTTTTACCTGGCTAAGTGATTCAGACATACGTAAAGCCGTCTGAAACTTGTAAAACTCTCGCATGAGTCCTGAAGTCAGAGATTTTTGACGCGGGGGAAGGCGAATTCTCTTCAAATCGCCAGAAAGACAATTATTCATTTTCTAAAGCATTGTCGGGATCCGTCAGACTTCAACGACCTAAATTCCTAGCTATGACTACGTGAGGGATGCACTTTTGCCAAATGGAGCCCATTCCATTATAGTCGGCATTCCGAAGCAGAACATAACCACGCTCCACAAATTCTGCATCACGTTTAACAGAAGCGGAGTCTACGAATGTCATTAAAACTAAAATATGCGGCACCGAAAGCAATACCTACTCCAGTTCACAAACAATTTAATCGAATGCCCGTATCATATGGAAAGGAAAGATGGTTGTTCTTTATTCCTTGCTCAAAAAGCGGTTGATCTAAACTTTTGAAGAACATAATTTTAACAAGAACCACCATCGAGGAATATTTTTGTGAATCTAAGGAAGGATATTTAAGAATAGTGAAAACTCGTCGAAAAAATTTCGGAGATCTTCGAACTGCGAATCCAAGCGCATTCCTTAGAATCTCAGATGATCCTGATGTTCACCGGGGTTACATTTTTATATAGCATATATCTAGTAGCCGAGCTCGTACTGTAATTTCGACGTTCTACTGATTTTCACAGATGCATATGCACTACTCGTCTATGGCTATCACTCATGATTTCTTGCTAGATAGATTTACAATATGATACTTCATCACTTTCAAAAGTCGAGTATCATCAAATCGAACCCTGTATATTCGACATTTCTCTGTCGTTCACCAACTCTCGTCAAGATGCATTAAAATTCCGTATTTTCCAAATGAAGACTAAGATTATTCTAAAAATGAAGAAAATGTAACCCTCGACCTAGTTGAATTTTTCAATTCTATAGACAAACGAACAATACCGCAGTGCTGGTTCCGTTCATAGGCTTCATCCGTTATATGAAAACTTACCATTCAAAAGTTATTCTAAAAAAGAGCCTTTGGCAGATTGACTCATGTGTTTCACGATGGGCTCAGTCCATTGTTTGCTTTGTGTAAATTATCCCGCACATATTCCTCCTTGCAACCTTCTTTCAACAGTTCACGAACTTCGCGAATATAAACTGAATCTTTACGACGGGAAGTCAATAGCGATAAGATGAACCATTCAAGAAACGACTTCTTCGTCACTTCGTATACAAACGAAGTTAAGAAAATAAACGACCGCCGCGGGTTTCGAATGCCTGCGGTGCGCAGATACGAGACGAAAACGGCTTTCCGGTAGCAAATAAAAGTCTACTCACGTTAAATCCATGGTTACGCCTTCCTTGAGCCAAGTTATATTTGGTTTCGGCCAGCCATTAGCTCCGCATTCGAATATCACGTCGGTCCCAATACGCGAACGCGTCACAACCGCAGGTTTCAATACAAACACTGGCGAACGTGAATACACTGATTCCACTGTGGAGTTCAATTAATAGGATTAAAATCTACGTTTTATACATTTTGTAATTTTCCCTCACCTGGATCTTCATCAACTTCCAAAACGTTCCTAGCACCTCGCCATATTTGAGTATTGGTTTTTGCGTGTGTGACTTCACAATGGTAAACTCCGCTGTCGCCACCGACGAGATTCACGAGCTCCAAAGAACCTATACGCACAAACCAACTTACACTTTCTCCGGGTACAACGACTTCGAATCATACTAACCTGTTTGGAGTAGATTCGTTTTAGATCGATCGAATTTGACGACGTCGCCGTCATGATACCACGTGAAATTCAATTCAATGTCCTTCTGCATATTTCTCAGAACACCTGAATCTTCGTCTATACACGGGAACAGCATGTTTTCCCCAAAGTATACTTTATGCGTCTGTTCGACATCACTAGGCAGCAACGGACCTGGAGCAAATCATAAATGTCAACGAGGTCCCATTCGGAACCAATTAACTGCTTACTGAGCACATCCACGGTGGCTTTCTTGCTGAGAATGTTTCCAACTGATGGAATAATGGCAAGGCACTGATAAACACCTTCCACAAGAAGTCCTGGCTCTGTTCTATATACTCGTGATGATGCAGACACAGCGAGAGACCCGTTCGGATACAATGTTCTGAAGTAAAGATCGTGATCACAAAAATGAAAAAATTAAGGTAATTTACGCTTACGTTGTGGCAGTATTCGATGATAGAATATCACCGTCTTTCTTCCATTTGATTGTCGCAAGTTTTGCAGCACGTCCTTCGAGGGCACAGTGCAATAAAGCTGATGAGTCGGGCAAGATCATAGCCGACTCCGGTTCGACGCTGAAATTGATCTCGACGAACGAAGATGAACCTGGAAAAGAACCGTGGTTTTAATATTCACGAAGATAAATGGATCAAAGCACTTCACGAACCTCCGGCACATGCTTGGATGAGAAACAGTATGTCAAGTAGCAGAACACGCACTGGAAAGCTCATGCTTGTATGGATATAAGTAGTCGCCGGTGGACAATTCATCTTTCATGAAAACACCGCATCCGGCTCGTAGACCGGAGCGGAATGTTCACCAGAAGTACCAACAACCGCATTCACGCGGCGGACACTACCTCACATTAAATCAATATGCCTAAATACTTCAAAAATCTAGAAGTGAAGAGTAACTCGTCAGTAAAGTATTAAGATGGGCACACGACGTCAATAGATAACGGACTGGATACAAATCATAAACTTCACGGTTGGACGAACGTCCTTAAATAGAAGTCGAGCATATTTCGACCATCTCCAATCCGAACACACAAGAACCGCTGATCACAAAGGCAATAAGCAAGTTCTGAACGCACCTCGTTCGTTAGGGAGGATTGAACGCTCGCGGAACTTTCTGAATCGGTCCTGACTTGCCAGCCATCCGACCGACATGTAGTAAGGTTGAATGAATGAGTCTTCGTCCAGCGCAGCAGAAACCGGAGGATTTATATAAGTCCAACTCCGTTAATCGAGACAACACGACAACACAAACACAATAACAGTCACTCATAAAAATATAGTAACGGTTGACACGGATTCAGGTGATGAGTACGGTAGGTATATTCGAGTATCAGGGTATAATAACGTACGCGTCACACACACACTTTGTATTCGCAGGATCTCTGGCAGGAGGTGCCGTCTTGATGGAAGTTCGTATACGTCTGACGACTTGGTGTCCCTCTTCCTCCTCTTCTCCCGTTTGCCCTTGGTTGTCCCATTGTTCTTGGTCCTTTGTCCTCTGGTCCCGTTGGGGTGTTTTTCCACTGGTGACTGGACTGTTGTTTTGTGACTCATGTTTCTTGTGTGCTGGAGATGAGAGATTACAGATACGGATGTTGTTGACTCTCACTATATCTCTTGTCAGGTCAGAAGTCAGAACTCAAGTGAGGAATATTTCTTCGGTCTCCGTCACATCTCCTCCAATCGTGATAGGCATCTTCTCCTGAGCAACGATCGGGTGGGTGATGTAATCGGTTGGTCTGGATCTTGCTAGATGTCGCTCTAAGGGTCCTGGTAGGGATCCCTTACTCCCACCCCCCCTGGAGAAAAACGGCCGGAGGGGAAGGGAGGCTACGTTTTTCTATGAGGAATAGGTATGGTCTGGGCGAATGACCGAGGATGGCGTTGGTGGCCGCAGCAGATAATCATGATCTCTAGAGATAGTCTGAGAAGAAAAGCCCGCGGAAGGATCCGCGAACGCGATGTCGGAATCGGTATAGGGATCTGTCCCTGTCGGGTGAAACAGAGGAGAGAGGGATTGGGCCCAAATCGGGTCGGGTTGTCTGGGCAAGCCGCGAGCAGGAACCATCTCCCAAGCATTTGCGCGACAAATTACCTTATCTGCGCCCACATGATACTCCCCCTGGCCCAAGTATCGGATGACAATAAATGGACCCAGTTGCTGTACGCGGAATCGCCGATCCGCGGCGTGTTGTTTAACCGTGGGCAATTGCGGACGTATGGCCACTAAATCCCTGGGACGAAACTGGGGCCACTTTTTTTGGTTGGCGATGCGACAGAATTCCTCGCGGGCCTTGGCGTTCACCGTCGGAATTTGCGAGAGCTCAGCATCAATTGCAGGTGGAAGTACCCCGAATTCGCGATCTGATTCCAAGAGGGCCGGTCTCTGAAAGAAGGCCTCTGTAGGCGTTATCCCAATGGACGAGTGGATTGTATTGTTGTAGGCGAGCGCGGACTGAAAAATGAATCGGTCCCATTGCGAGCTGTCCCCGTCGACATGCTTGGATTGTATCGTCCCCAGCGTGCAAATCGCGCGCTCGCAACAGCCATTTCCTTTGGCGTGAGACGCTTGGGCTACGTGCTGTTTCACGCCGGCGTTGCGAAGAAACCACTTGAATGCCTTTGAGCGAAAAACAGAATCACAATCCGTATGAATGCAATCGCATACCCCAAATTGACGGAAAATCTCAGCCAAAAACGGAATCACAGAGGATGCGTCAGCCTGAGGGATGGGTTTAACCAGCATATACTTGCTATAATGGTCGACGGCGACTATTGCATATCGGTTGCCTTCCTTGGACAGGGGGAGCGGACCGTAGAAGTCGACGGTGAGACAATCTCGTGGCTTAGTGGACTCGATCGGCTCCAGGTGGGTGCCTACCGGTGTTGTTCGGATGTTGTATCTGAAGCATACCTGACAGCACTGGATCCTCTTCCACATGTCTTGCCGTAGCGAAGGCCACTTGTAGCGGGTTCGCAGGGTCTGGTAGATTTTCTTCCAGCCCGCGTGCCCGAGCTCTTCGTGATAGCGGTCGATGATCTTGAGATGCTCTGCTTCGTCGGGGATCTCTCGAACTTTGGCCACGTTCAGGGTTACTCGGCTGAGGGCGTCCGGCCCCTTCAGAAAACGTCCCGGTTTATACACGATCTTGGCCCTAAAAGGAGCAAGTTTGGTGTGTAAATAGATTAAGCGGGTGGTCTTCAATTCGCCGAGCAAAGCCTTGTGGTCGGTGTAGACGGTAAAGTCGCGCAGCTCTAGGTAATGCCGAAACTTTTTGGTGACGGCCCAGACAATGGCAAGTAATTCCCTCTCGGAATTAGTGTACCGCGACTCCGTATCATTTAATGTGCGGCTGGCGTATTCGACGACGCGGGGACTTCCGTCTTCGTCGATCTGCACCAGGATCGCTCCCAGCGACGTCTGTGATGCATCGCAGTGGACCTCTGTCAGGCGGGATGGGTCCATGTGTTCCAGGCGGGCTGACTCTGCAAGAATTTCTTTAAGATGATTAAAAGCGTCAAGTGCTTCGGGGGTCCATGTGAGCTTGTTCAGCGGTTTCGCCGGGATGGTCTGGCAGAGGATCTTCTCGGAGGCGGCAAAATTGGTAGGCAAATGGGCACGGAGGTACGTCGCCATGCCCAAAAACCGCTGCATCTGCCTCGTGGTGGCTGGTTGTGGGAAGCGGCGGACTGCGTCCAGGTCCTTGTCCAAGGGCCTTGTCCCTGTTTGATCAATTTTGTGCCCGAGAAAGATGATTTTCTTGGCCAGGAAGGTAGACTTGGCTAGGTCGACGGACGCTCCCGCGTTCCCCAAAGCTGTGAGGACCAAATCTAAATTTTTGTACACTTGATCGAAAGATTCGCCGAAAACAATTATGTTATCCATGTAAACCAAACATCGCGTATACAGATGATCGCGCAGAATGTGGTTAACAGTGCGCTGGAACGCGGCTGGCCCGTTCTTCAGGCCAAAAGGCATGACGCAGTATTGCATCTGCCCGCGCGGGGTCCAGAATGCGGTCTTAGGCCGATCTGCGTGCGAAATAGGCAAATGATGGAAGGCAGCATGCAAATCGAGGGTACAAAAGTATGCGTTACTTCGGCCAAGGGCGTCAAGAAGATCCTGGATCACCGGCATCGGGTAAAGATCGTCGGCCAGGATGTTATTGATGCCCTGGTAATTCTTGACCAAGCGCCAGTGCCGATGGGGTGGCGCGTTGGGATCCGAGGTTTTCTTTTGCGTTAGGAAGGCTGGGGAGTTATACGGCGAGTACGCCAGTTCAATAATTCCAGCTTCCACATATTCGTCGACCAATTTGGAAAACAAAGCGTTGAGTTCAACCGATTGGCGGAAGGAGCGCGTATTTGGAATTTCAGTTCCGGAAGTCTGGAGCGCGACGGTGTGCTCAGGGAGAAATCCGCGGCGGCCCGACCATTGGTGAAACGTGTCGCGGTGACCGAGAAGCAAAGCTTGGATGGCATTGCGCTCCTGGGGGTCGCCGTCCTGAAAAAGAATGCCCTCCCCTGCGGTTAACGTCGGGGCAGCCCGATTCTGGATTGTTCGCTGGAAACCAACGAACGCGCATTCTCCGTAGATTGTTAAAGACAGCGGGAAGTGTCGAAGCGCGGTCCGTCCGAGAAGCATCGGAGGGTCTGCGAGATGCGGAAGAATTAAAAAGGGAATAGCGTATTGTAATCCGCAAAAACTAAACTTGATGATTACCTGCTGTGCCACCTTCGCAGTATCTGTTGTCAGAGCGGTGAGGACGTGTATCGAGCAAGGGCGTGGGGAAAGGTTAAGGGAGTCTACTAACTGTTGAGAGACGAAGGCGTGGGAAGCACCGGTGTCGACCAGTGCCGGAATGGTGACGTCCCCGATCTGAAGAGGCAGCACGATTGGTGGGGGTGCGGCGGAGTCCATGTCCACACAGTGCGCCGCATTCACTGTGAAGGGCGAGCGTTTCCCTGAAGCGAGAGTGGGCAGTTGCGGCCTATGTGACCCGGTTCGTGACAGTGGTAGCAGTAGAACGTGTTGCCGTTTGTCCCCTGCTGTTGCTGCTGCGGTGGAGCTGGTCGACCTGGGGTGGCGGGTGCCGCTGTCGGTGCCGTGGCCATCGCAGGTTTGGAGGACGTGGCGGGAGCTCTGCCTTGCTGGCGCAGGAGGATGCGGCAGTCTTGAGGCGAATGGCGGACGTGAGCCCGGTGCCCCTCGCACCACTGTTGTTGAGGCCAGTTGCCGGATGAGGTCTTTGAAGCTGTCTTGGAACCGGTCCCGCTGCGCGATGTGGCATGATGATGTAGACGGTACCGTTCGGCTTCGGCGACTGCCTCTGGCCAAGACCAGTTGCGGTTGTCGATCCATTTCCGGCGAAGCTCGTTTTGTAGGCCGGTTGGCGCAGCGTTGACGAGTTGCTCGATGAGGATTTTGTGGCAAACCAGTTCCAGGGTGACCGGTTGCCCCGGCGGGTTGAGGAAGGAATTAAATAAATGTTCTAACCTCCCGCTGAAGCTGACAAAGCTTTCTCCAGTCTGCGGACGTAGCTGACGAAACCGGTCCAGCCGGTCAAGATGCGGCGTCGGATGAGATACGGCGATAGCGGTTACAAGCTCCTTGAACTCAACAATGCCTTGGCCGTACAAAATGGATGCGGTCTCCCGAACGAGTGCGTGAGTTTTGTTCAGGAGGCACCAGACTTTCATGTCCGCCAAGACATTGTTGATGGCCGGCATGCGGCGCAAATGGTCGGCGTAATCCTCAAAAGATTCGGTCTCACGCTGGCGTGGTAGATCCGAAAGTTGTGGTTCCCCAGGATGGCGCTGCTGTGGCGGGAGGTACGCGGGTGGCACTGGCGTGGGAGCGACAATGACGATCTCCTGCAACGTGGCCGGTGGAGCCCAAGGTTGGATCTGCAGATCGAGCGGGCGGAGGTGCCAACCCGGAGGCGGGATCCATCCCTGGGCGATCGATGCCGGGACCTTGTTGGAGATAAGCAAGGAAACGTAGCTCTCACGATGAGGTGACAATGGAGTGCCCAAGCGGTATGCCTTGACGAGATACTGCAGCGTCGGTAGCGGGACAGTCTCCCATTGCCCGCACGGTGCCGGGGACGGCGTTGTGGGAAGGGCCGGAATGGAAGGACTCCGCGGAGATGGGGTGGATGCCAGAGACGCCTGCTCTGTGGATGGTCCCGCTGGTGCTGCAGCTGGGTCCGGAACTGGGGCAGGGGGCACGTAAGGCTGTGCCGCGGCTTTCGAATTCTCGGTGTTTCGCGTCATCTCGCTGCTAGCGCTAGGACGATCGGGGCTATTGAACCGGACGAACCCCCAGTAAGGTTGAATGAATGAGTCTTCGTCCAGCGCAGTGGGGGGGGGGGGGGGGGGGGGGGGGGGGGGGGGGGTAAGGGCGACCTCATAATTTGGTAGACTATGTTGCATTGTAATAAAAATTTGGTATCAGCAAGAATAGCTCAGTATCAATGCGAAAAATGTGTATCCTCAAAAATCTGCTTGTTCCTATGAAGGAGAGTTTTCAACCACAAAAGGAAATCATTAAGTTTTGGAGTCGATCATAAATCCATGTACAGTATACACTAGCCCTGTTGTAAGCTGAACAAACAAGTTTCAAGTTAATGAGAGTAGGATGTTCTATAGGTACTAGCTCTTTTCCTGCTAAAGAAGGTACAGTAACTTATTTACTTGAACTGTAATATGAGAGCGGTGGGCATGCACTCCTAGGGCCTCACCTGCATAAATCATATTAAACAAATTCAAAAATTAAAAACGCCATTAACCCAATTTTTTTAGCTAGCTGCAAATATAAAACGTTCTCTCACTCGCAATAAATATGGTTAGAGAGATATATTATAACACTGAACGTTTCAGCCTAAGCACTTTCTATATTCTTTCATTACAAACCTTTTAGTCGGGACTTCGAAATTTTGTCCTCTCGAAAAATATTGGAAGGGTTTTTAGCTGTGCTTCACATCTTAACCTTTTTTCGTTTGATCATAACACCCTTCCAAAAGGGTAATATTGCTTGATAAATCCAATTCACAACATTCTGCTTAGAAGACAATGAATAATGATTGAAATGTTCACTGTGCATTCTTCCACTCAGAAATGCGGTCTATCATAATATTTTATGACAAATTTTTACAGCAATTGTCCCTCAAACAAAAATAATAAAATGGCACGGTATTTCTTTCCAAATTCCACCCTGAAAATTCATCCTCAATTCAACAGGCTGATCTTGAAAATAAAAATCGCTGATGAATCAAGAATGAGTTGAATACCATCTTAAAGATAATACCTCTCAATTAGCGAAAGAATTTTATTCAAAAAAACGTTTTATTAAACACTCCAAAGATGGAACAATCTTACAAACGACAGATCTGACATCCTTGAAAGACAATACACAAAGTGGACGGAAATTGAATCTTAAGCCCCCAGACGAAATCTTCTCTTCCAGCTCATATATACAAAAGTAGCAGCAATAAATCCTCAGGATGTAGTTCGCACCATAGTTAAATGCTGATATCAGTCGCGGCAATCGTCAATTCTCCGTCAGTTTGGTCCCAGGTTTCAGAACACCGGTTATCGCAGTTTCAACAACAAAAAACGCCGGTTCTTCAAATATCTCAAAAATCCTTTGGAGAGCGACCTAATTCGAATCCCTTCGCGCTTTGATCAATCGTAAAGCAAACATAGATTCAGCGATATATTTTTTGTCATGAAGAACACAGATCTGATACTTCAAAAATAAAGAAAAAGAAGGGCTACAGATGCACCACGCTATTAGTTATGCGAAACATTTCTCGATTCACTCGGAAGACACGTTCGGAAGCCCTTCACCCGAGTACAAGCTCTGTACATGTCGGCCCAACTTACAAATGCACAATGCATGCTTGAAACACGGAGTCGATTGAAACAAAGAAGCCTTACGTTTTGGGAAACTACAAGTTAACCTACGGTGAAGACGTAGAAAAATCGTACTGCTCTGAAGTTTGAACCCAATGGGTTGAATTCCAAGCGACCAGTCAAAACTTTAGATATACGGAGGTTTCGATTTAGGGGAACCATCATTTTTTCCTAAATAATTTAAATTTTTATTGTTTTTCGTCTTTCCTAGGTCAAAAAAGTAATCGTAAAACGGTCCTCAGAAAATTGGAGTTCATAAGGATTCAAGCTAGGGAGATTTTTAATACATGGTTTCGGAGAGAATCCAGGAAAGGACTGCAATAATGTTGTAAGTTGAATACGTGGAAGAAATGAATCCACCTCACATATATCAGAAATTAATCTCCGTCGACTTCACTTTTACAAAATGTTACAACTAAAATCGCTTCGGTTACTTTCATAACGCACTGGCTTCCAAGCCTCAATCGACAATTTCGGCTTCAAACACTCTGCAAAAATTCCAATTTAGTAAGTTTTCTCTTTTTCCACATAAGCAGGGGCGTCAGGCATGCTCAGCGGAGCCATTTCCATAACGTTGCCGTTCTGCTCATAATCCATGACTCTCACCAAATCCGAAATAAACTCGCTGAACACGAAATGATTCAAGTTCCTGCCCAGATTGTACAACATGAACCAATCCCCGAAAAGACACTTGCGGTTGACCACGTCAAGCTCGTGTTGCGAGTTGAGTCGGGCTTGCGTTCGCAGCATGTTCACTCGCAACACGGGGCTCCACAGAGTGACAGCACGGTATCCAATTTGCAGACCAGTGACGACGGCAAGAATAACGAACCAAAACCAAATGAAAACGAAAATCTTTTCGTTGATGATGTTGAGGGCGAGGACGCAAAGCGTGTCGTGACGCTCGATCGTCCCCGAGGGACCGTACATGTGGAAAGTACACTTCGTGACCCTGCAAATCAAGCATGAAACTCACATTATCATGGCCTGAATGGAAGACTGAATACAAATTATTAAATTCATCACTCTGTTTGTTTTCAAATCCCTGTCACGTGAACACGATTCAACCAGTTGACTTGCATGGGCATAGCTTTCGAACATACCCGAGCTCGTTTTCAAGTAAACTTCTAATCAAAACCATCTTCAATCAAGAAATAAACACAAAATTAATACGACTTAAAATAAAAGGCGCGATATGTTCGATCAATACCCACTCAAATCGCTCCTTGAATCAATTTCAATTTAAATTATTGAAAATGATTTTGCGAAGTTGTACCTTGATTCAATGCGTGAACTAAAATAAAAAAGCAAGAATGTGAATATTAAACATTTTAGAGAGGTAAATGATAAGCGAAACACTGACGTTTCGTGCGCTCTATGTTTCATTCTAGTTTGGGGGAATAATTTCAAAAATAAAAGTTTCTGCTTTACATTTCGAAAATTCAATTTTATTCTAGGAGAAAAAAAGAACTCACCTTGGGAAAACTTTCACGAGCGGACTAATGGCGTCCAATTTAGGGTCTCGCAAATATCCAACAGCTCGAGAGCCAAAATCCGTGAACTGATAGCCCAAGAATTTATCCGTGAAGTAAATGTTGCCGATGACATTCGCCAAATTCAACAGTTCACAGAAAACAAATTTGAAGGACCAGCCATTGTGAAGATGCAAGTGCTGGAAAAAGTACTTGGAGAGAACCTTTTCTTTTTCCTTTCTCGCTTCGGTATCCAACAACATCGACGTGCTGTTCAGTCCTTGAACCAGGGATTTCATTTTTCCTGGAAAAACAAAGCGCCACGTTAAAAAAAAATTGAAAAAAACTTGGAAAATAAAATTTTAAAACGATATAAAGAAGGTCACCACGATTTCATTCATTGAATTTTAAACATACCGCTAGGATTTCTTAACGATTTATACTCTTAATTTCAATTCACTCTGAATTACACGAGCCAAATTTCTAGTCACACTTGAGATTCAATGCGAAGGATTTCTACGGGAAAAAATTCATACATTATAAACGGGAACAGTTATTTTCTCAACATTTCTGGCATCGCGAATTTCGAAAAAAATAAGTCAATTGAAGAGTTCATGCAAAAAGATGCAAAACCTATGCTGTGAAAGATACAATGATCAAGACGCAAAATAATTTTATATATTCAAACATTTCGCTTAGGAAGCGAACCGCAGGTACTGTACTGTACAGTACTTGAATTTAAACAACCTATAAATGGAGGGAATAACGCACCTCCGTCGATCAGCCGCCAGATGTAATGCGGCATATAGAACAAGATGGCTTGCAAAAACAGGAAGAAAGGAACCCATTGATAATAAGCATGGTAGTGAGCATCGTAGTCACTAGTAGGTCCAAGCCCGGGATGCGGTACATCTTTTCCAACTTCTCCGGTCCAATGCACAGGGATGGAAAACGTGCTGGAGATCCAGCAGTACATGTTCAACGTTGCAGGCGCAATTGCATTGTACGACATGCATTGAATCGGGTCACCTATACACGAATAAAATATTTCATGTTTTTCTGTTCATTCATTTATTCCAAAAATTCGGAAAGAAGGTAATTGACGAATGGGTAGATTAATCGTAGTACAATTAAACTAAGGTATAAGCCTAGGGTATGAAGCGTGACTAACAAGTTTCGAGTCATATCAACAGTTTCGCAACCTTCTCGATACGCGGGACCCTTCAAAAATTACTTCTTTGGCGTCGTGCAAAGGAAAATTTTCTTCTGGGTTTCATTTACATACAAACTGCAGTATTGTTCTTCCGTTTTTTGGGAGCAATAGATGAAGATTCAACTCTAAAAACGTTATTATTCAATTAACTGGTAGAAAACTTATTTTTCTTTTGAATACAGAACAATGTTTCCATGGCACGTCTTTACATTTTCTTGCAGCTGACGACGAGTCCCTGGAACTAAAGAATATTTCCGTCAAAATACGACTCAGGCCAGCTTAATTAGGCACAGTATTCGGTTGGATCAGTTTCAAAAGTATTAGGTGAGGTTCGTCAGGCAATCATTACAACATGATTACAACACGAGTTCAAAATACGGCAAATAAGTAAGAAAGCTGGCAGTATAAGAATCCAAAATTGCTCATCAACGAAGAAAGGAAAGACTCTCGACATACACTAAACATGAACTAAAAAAGCACTTGCCGAAAAAGCTTGTCAAACAGTTGAGCACAGAGGCACACAGCAGGAGAGCAACGGTGAGCTTGTAATGCAGCTTGAAAACGAATGTATCGGCTCTCGGCGACACCGACAGACTTAGATGGCCTGCTAAATCACCGAATACGCCAAGCATCTTTACAGCCACTCACTGCACTACAACGAGACAACCAACATGCACAACCTGCAAAAAAAAAACATAGAATTTGCAGGATAAACTGGTTTGCTCTTCGAAGTTTTCGAGCGTTAATTTCAGAAGAAAAAAAAAACAAATTTAATGTATGTCATAGCAAAAGATCCGAAGACATCTGATCACTCCATCTCAACATCCAGCGAACCACGTCCACGTAAATATTCAGCGTATTGATCCACTGCAGACTTGAAACGCTTGATTTTATGCTTGATTCGGTCGGGAGTTAATTGCATCAAATTTTTCGAATCTCGCGCGATTGCTTCACAATCTTCTCCGTGCTTGTCAAGCATTTTCGTTATCCAGGTGTACTCTGGCTTGGAAAGTTTGACATGGATAGTTCCACGAATTAATGAGCGGGCTTCCATAGCTTCAGCCACGTGCGTCGAAGAACCTTTCTTGCTCTTCATTTTTGGACGAGCTAATTCCGGATGCATGCTTTTTATCATGCTTTCCTGCAAGAAAAAAGCACGCATAATAATTTCAGCGAAAAATCGGGACTAGACTTGAGCTGGTCAAAGCTTTCTCGAAGCAATTTTTTTTAAATCTTGAGTAGCAATCACGATGATGGAAACGCAATTTAACGGATCGAGTCTAATATTAAACATGTACGACATGACCAGTCATAATTTGACTAACCAAAATGCCAAAGTAAGGAACAGCTCTAAATGCAAATGAAGCAATCCCTCGGCGAAAAGAAATAATAATAAAAATTAACACGTCACAAATACCCTAAACAGTTCCACCCTGAGTGAATGAACTTTTGTAACTCGTATAACAACTGAAAGGTGAGAACATGAATGCAAAAGCGCTTCTGGACAGCTTTCGTATGGAAGAACAGATTCAAATATTACTGTATAATCGTTCAGCTTTGGTTTCAAGGAGTGACTTGGATTGGGAACACAATTTTCAATCCTGAATCATGCGATACCATGCTGCGCGTTGTGAATAACAAAACATCCGCTTACCTTCCCTGTGAGGATATCGATGTCGATGACCTTATTAGGATCAAGCCCAAGGCCCATCTGTGTTATATTTCGGATAGCAGACTTCTTTGGATCCCAAGCGTCTTTCATTTCGGGTCTGAATAAGAAAAAGGTTCCTTTAAATTTTAAAAAAATTTCCAAAAAATATGAATCAAATAACTCTTGAGCTTACTCAGAAAACACTGGCTTCGCGGTCTTCATTTTCCTCCTCTTGAACTGCTGTTTACCATAATTCTTCTTCGGATTCCTTGTCTTCTTTCGTCTCCGTTTAACGCCCGCTGCTTTGCCCATTGTACACGTCTAACTTTCCTGAACAGTTAACCAACCAAGCTTTTTAAGAGGGTTACGCTCTAAAAACTGAACACAACATAAATTTAAAAGGTACAAATTCAAAAAAGCGTCTGTGTTTCGAGACATGGAGACATTCAGCCCAGGTAAAAAAAAAAAACCTGGACGTACATCAAGAATACACCAATCGCATCGGCGTACGTGGAATAAAAACACAGCGAACATTTCTAAGCGCTTCAATGTCGCGATGCACGATGTGACTTCTTCGGGCGACGCGTAGGAGCACTGGAAAATCAATGAGAATGGATAATGTGAAAATCTCCAACGACTTCTATGCGACAAGACTCACGGTTCTGGAGGGTCGTAAAAGAATTCAACTTGAGCAGCTTCATGGACTGAAACCTCGAGACTGTTATGGGGTTGGTTCTTTTCGCGCTTAACTTTGAGCGTAAGCTTTCCTTTGTACTTGTTGGAGCCTGTTGCGTCATCTGGAGGATCAGTCTAACAAATCGGAGGAAGAATAAAAATTCCGTTTCGCTGAATTGTGGTGCATGGCTTTCTGAGGCAAGCATTTATATTTAAACAGAGACAAGCTACCACAATTTGTTCGTGAAGCTTTCGGCGGTTTACAAAAAATGAATTCAAATTATTCACACCTATCAACCTATCATTTTTGGGAATAGTCAAGAGTAGACAACTGTTGCAAAAGTAAATTCATTGATATTCCTCACCTCCCGCAAAGAAATCTGATATACAGGCAGACTCTCTATCTCTCTACAATAATTCATTTGTGTAACGAATTATTTCGGTACCATAGTAGTCCTCTACAATTCCCATCGGGGTTCTGTACAACGAAATTCTCTCAACAACGAATTTCTTTTTTTCCCCCCGAATTCCGTCGTCGAGAGTCCAAACTTCTTCAAGTGAGTTTAGGAATATTAATGCATGAAAATTGTATTCAGAAGAAGGAATCCGTCACCACGTTAATTTTGAAGATGAAATAATGAACAAAAGTTCCACCATTTCCACGTGTTGGTCCGTCATTTTCAAAAAGATAATCAATAATCGATATTATTTTAGATAACAATCACTATCATCATGGAATATGTAAATTATGTCTATTTATTGTTCCCAAAACAAAAATAAACGTATCTTTTTATATTTTTCGGATATTGCAGACCTGTCAATGAAATATGAATATTGTTAAGACGGCAGCAGAGACAAAATTTGCGGGAAGCAGAAAATTTCATCTGTTGATGATTTTGACAGATACGCTTCATCTGGACTTTCTATATGTCATTACCTATACAGGCACTGTAATAGTGAAAAAACATTTTCAAGTTTTCCAGATTCAGATTTTCGAGGCTTGAAGGTCAAGCCTTTTTATGATGTTCCTGCTTGGAAATTTGATCACCACACATTTTTTTTTCGTCCGTCACGTATTTACAGTATATAAAAGCGCATATCAAGAAAACTCAGTCACAAAAAACGAGCTCACCATTCGAAGAGTAGTTTCGAAGATACGACAGACTTCGCGAGTGTCCAAATGCTCCCAATTTGCACAAACCTCCTCGAAACTCGAGTTAGTATCTTTAGGTATCACATGGAATATCTTCTTCGCATACGTTTCCCAACTTCCTTCGGATTCTTGATCCAACTTCATCTTCATGTTTTCCACGTACGCTTGAAGATGTGGCTTGAAAGTAGAAATAAAATACGATTTGAATGTTTTCCCATCAACTATTCAAGAGAATAAAATTTTACTCACGCAATTCTCCTCATCTTCATCATCTCTACCATTGAGGGCTTGTGTTTCCATCAAGGTATCTTCGAGTGACAAATCCAACTGTTCATCGGCTTTAGCAAAAAGCCCAGAGAAATCTTCCGACATTCGCAACAAGCAGGATTCCGTGACCCCATCGCCTTCGTTCACTAAAAATAATTACGGTCAACACGGGTCCAATACAGATAGTTGACAAACACACTCTTACCAGTTTCTTCCAACCTCCAAGCGTTTACCAGTGATTTTGCTTCCCTTCGCATTACTGGCAAAGAAAACCAATAGTCATCCAGTCCAGGAGGACAGAACTGTGCGTCAAGCAACCTCTCGGCGGACAATGAACAATGTTTGAAGCAAAAGTTGCACGGCCCCGTTAGATTATCCTGAAGGGTATCCTGTTTCGAGCGAGAAAATTAACTGACATTCAGCAACATCAGCTCAGTAGAATTAGATGATCACATCAACGTTAGCTGGGCCAGGTACCTGGCGGATTTTTCACGGACAGTGCTATCTGAACACTCAAGAGTCATTAGTACAGTACCACGAAGTGAAACCATTTAGAGGTAAAATGGAAGTCTCATTCCTGGACACCCTACTCCCTACTCTGAATGAATTTTCCCAAGGATTCAAGAGCACTCTCAGATGACACTCAGAAAAAAATAAACGCTGGACAGCTAATTGACAAAACAATTGTGGAGACAAGCAGCAAGGGTTTTTTGAAAAATCAAGAATAAGAAATAAATACAATACCTGAAAGCAATGTCCCATTCCGGCGATAAAAGAGCTCTGAGATTTCAACCGGTTGGTAAAAGGCATTGTTTCCTCAATGGACATCCACGGTGAGGAGTCTTGTCGATCTCCCAGCGCATCATTCGCCAAGGTAAGACCGCCTCTGGCTGCCAAGCGCTCTTCGTCGTCTTCTTCGAATCCTGGTTCACATGAGGTACCTCGAAGCTCTAAAAGCTTTTTGGCTATCACTTTGTCAGAAGTATCACGAATCTGACTCCCTGTTGGTGTTAAGATCACCATCCGCGACTCTGGATAAGTTAGTTCTAAGCTGGCGTTACTCGAAAAAGTGCAGAACACGTTCAGGAATCTGTAGAAATCAACGGGAATATTAAGATCAGGACCAATAAGAATGCATTTGTATCGCTCACGGAGATCTGCCCAGATCTTTTGCAGCAACCAACGCAGGGCGATCCAGCAATAAAACATCCCTTCCACACTCATCTGACTTGGAAATCCGAGGAGCTGAAGTAAGCGGTTGGCGATCTGTAGATTAATTTACCGTTGATGATTCACACGGTGACATAAGATAAGCAGAAACCACTCATTTTACGGGATCAAATTTACGCATCTTCAGAAATACAGTATGTCTATTGTTTCCTAAAAAATTCAAACGATGTACTGCACTTCGACAACCTGGCAATACCTGAGAAATTAAGAGTTCGATACAGTATCAAGGTATCAATTACAGGTTCTACTATCGATACTTTACGCTAGGGTGCTTTCATCAGGAAACGTTTCAGTGCCTTATTAAGCCCTACATTCTCACCAGAAAGTCCAAGAGAAACAATAGTAAGACCATCGTCCTTCGGTTTCCTTACTGCCCGCCTGGAAAGAAACCAAAATTAGCACTGCGAAAAGAAAATATTCCAATGAAATTTACCTTTCACCACGTTGCAACTCTTTCAGAACTTCTTTCGATTCCTCCACGAGACTGTCGACGCGATTGATGAAGAGCGTCGCAAGAACAGAAACGAATTTAGCAGCCTTGAAAAAGTGACGCTTGGTATCACCATCGGAAACTTTGTGAAAAAATTCAATTTCTTCTTCAACGACTGGATCCCACGCATTCTTCACACAGTCGTGTTCCAAGCGTTCAACGACGTCCTTGAAAGTCAGCTTTGAGCCGGATCTCTGACACGGGTAATTAAATTACCAAATCGTCTTACGAGACATTCCAAATTCAAAAATAGACTCACGGAAAGATCGGACGATTTCAATGCTCCATTCGAGTTCGATTTGATATCCGAACGGATACCAACAACAGCCCTCACGTTTGAACGAATCAGGCGTAGTTTCCCAACCTTCGCCAGCTGCTTCGCAAATATTCCATGATAACGTTGATGAAACTTTTCACTCATCCACGACGTTTCGCATGCTCCAACAACATGGTTAGGGAATGTCGCACGAACGAGGTGAGGCATCGGGGGATTATGCAGGTCAACAGCGTAATTGGTCTCGGCTCCATCTGGGAAAAAGGTATCTCTTGTTCCCCGCCGCTTCAACACATCCCGCGTCATTCTGCAGCCGTATTCGTATGCTGCTGACACAGCAGAAGGATCATGCACTCAAACCATCACTGATTCTCCGGTTTGCTGAACTTTCAACACTCCAACTCGTCGTAAGATCCGTGAAACAAATTCCCGATTGTCCTTCTCCGCGCAGCCATCGGCAGCAAATGCCATGGATTCCGCGAACGCTCAGCGGACCTAGCCATCCTGATTACAAGAGGTAGATGTCGCCATCTAGAATTCTCACTTCACGGGATTATTAAGCCCCTTGCACGAACTGTACTGTACAGTTCATCAAAATCGCTGACAGATCCCAAATGTATTGACAAAAATAACATTTTCCGAATATGCGTCATTCGATGAATCGCTAAAAACATTGAAAAAATATATGGGGATGTCCGTTTTGAAAATTATTTCTCCCATGAGCACGACGTCGGAATCAAACCAGACTACCAGAGTAACTGAACTTTTATAAATATGATCTAAGGTCACCTTGGGGGCAGTTTTGCGAAGAATTCTCCATGCCTGCAGAAAATACTGCAGCTGGAAACTAATGGGAGGGATCTTACGAATTGAAAAGAAATATTTTCTGTTTTAGAATCGACATCTAGTTGAGAACCATCGCAGTTCGGAGTGTTGAGCGATTCGAGGAACAAGGGATTGAGTTTGACATTGTGTTCAGTAAGGCTCTCCCTTACAGCGACACCTAGCCAAGCAAGGGACAACCTCGTGTCGTCCAACCGACCCGTCTGCATCACCCGGACTTCCGGATAGGAGGACCAGAGGAGAGGTGGAACCAGCGGGGAGCTCCCAATGGCATTCTGCTCCTAGATCTCGAACTGAGCACTTCTTCTTATTTTTACTGTGTGACTTAGTGACTTTATTTGTTGTGGTGAAATCAATACGACCATTTTTACCTTGTGGCAAGGAGACGAGGACATTTATTTCTGACAATCTCTTATTGTTCGCAGCAGTGCGACGGAATTTCCGCTGTGATGAGATCACAGCAACAGCGATTCGTGGAATATTTTATGAAGCAGTTTCATTGCGTGTTATGTTTCTTGGATTCTTTTTGAGTAATTGTCTTTTCTGTGGTTTCGTTTTAGCGCATAATCCAACAGTGGGGTTATTCTGTTGGACAAGAGAAATGGGAATGCTAATCATTTGATTGAATTGGATTTCCACGTCATTTTTTTGGCGCATTGTTCCTTCAAGTTTTGCGCGATTTGTTCAACGACAGAGAAATATTATATCGGAGATGCTGTGCTGATAAGGGATGTCTTTTTGTTCGCTAAGAGTGGCAGTTACTTTGGCAGCGTTCATCCTGTCACCCTTCGACGTGTTTTCATGAATCAACTACTGTACTTCGATTATTTGATCGTCGTGTATCGTGGTTTTTCAGTAGGAAGTGAAAATACGACTGTGTTTTGGAGGTGGGGAACTCTGTGTTCGCGGAATGAAAGTGCCCTGCCAATGGATAGAATAAAAGTTCACGCCGTCTAGCGTAAGTCGTTGCACACCGTTCGTCGTGCATGATGATTGGTAGCTCCGCAGATGGGGATGAACACTCAGTTTTGGTTGGATCGCAGCATCATGCTACGTATCAATCGCTTCACGAAGAGAACGACGAGCCTCCTGAATATCCGGGCATCATCAATGACGTTCCCGACGTGAACGCGCGAAGTTTGTAAAAATTAATTTTTTATCCAAGCATTGGCTCAAATTTCTAAATTTGCTTCACAGGCAGGTGGAACCATGTAGCCGATCTCGATTCATTTTTCCGCCGAGTGTACTGGTATCATCAAAAGCATGGCGTTCTGTGCATGATTGCGCAGGAATTTCTGGAACTCGTCCAGTTCCTATTTGTAATCGTTTTTTCTGTCTTTCTGTTGCAATGCGTCGACTACAGAGTTCTATTCAGGTAATGTTCCTGTAGATTTCCTCAGTCTGAAGTTTTCCATAATTGAGAAATATTCAAATGCAGGGACAAAACGGCACCAGGTCACAATGCGACTGACAAAATATCCTTGTCGGATGCGGTTCTTCCGGCAAACCAGTGCCTAACTCATTTCAATGGAATTTTGATCGTTGTTCTCATGGTTGCCGCTGTGTTTTGGGCATTATTCTTGGTTCGATTTGTTTGCAATGCGTTTTTCTACTGGGAAATTGCGCGATTTTATCAGTCCGCATTGAAAATTGGCCAGGTAAGATTAATAATTTGGCGCTGGTCTTGTTGAGGAGACCCTGAGTTTAGTTGAGTCGTCTAAACAAATTAAAAATTCAACGTTACCCAAAATAACCGATCCCCAGATAAAGAAGCAACTAGCAAAAAAGCTTGCGAACAAAAAGTACTCTGGGAAAGATTCGCTGTACAAATTTTTCAACAGCATTATGCTGTACTTGTCTTTCAAAACTTGCCCTTCGTTTCTTCATTTGCTGTTTTAGTACATGTCCATTATTATTTAGAGTCAATCAAACCAAACCCTTGTTGCATCAGTACGTATGCATGTGATTTTCGTCACTTGTGATTGCAGTTTCAGCTGTAAAAATCGCTTGCTTCGTTGTGCAATACTTTACTTCCAAAATACTGTATTGTTATAGATCATTTTTTAAATTTCAGAATAAACGCAGAATTATTCATGTAAAACTGTGCGTCCGTGATCAGTTGTTCGCTTGTTGCTTTTCGTCTGGGAACTTTTCTCCTGTCACCGAATTATTCCTACATAACTTAGCTGGAATGTAAAGCAGGACATTTTATGTACTGTACGTGCTACAATGAAAAATCGATTCCACTGAAGTACTCAACTAGACGCGTGTCTTCTGAAAATTCTTGTAAAAAAAATTTTATTATGACACGAATGTTGCTCTGCAGAAAGAACTGAATAATTTGACATGGCACGAGGTTCAATCAAGGCTTCGAGCGGTTCAAGAAGATTTGCATCTTTGTGTTCACAAACCAGTCCTCACGCAGCTGGACATCTATAACAGAATTTTGCGGCAAGTTTTTTCAATCCACAACGTTTCGATTTTGTAACTCACGTCGAAATTCTGTTGCAGGTTCGAAAATTATTTTATCGCCATGGTGAACAAAAGCGTTTTGCCTCTGAAATTTTGCGTGCCTTTTTTCGGAGAAATGGTGTTTCTCTCTCGGGGCATGAAGTTCAACCTCGAGTTGATTCTTTTTCGTGCACCCGGTGCCCCCTTTGAAAGTAATTGGCACTTGAGACAGGAGTACAAATCTGCGGGTAATCGAACTGGGCTAGCGGACGCATTTTCAAAACGCGTTCTTTGGTTCAGTGCGGTGAATCTCCTGCTTTCGCCCCTCATATTTTTGTGGCAAATCTTATATTCCATCTTTCACTACACCGAGGTAAGTAATTTTGTTGTCGCTAAAGCGTGTTATGATGTCAAACAGAAGGGGCAACCGAATAGAGAAAGCCCAAAAGTCGCTGAATCTCAAGTTGACGACTTTTCTATTTTTCACTTGCTTTTGGGAATGCTTACAGTTTATTGAAAAGTTTCCAATGTTTGAAGTGTGCTCAAGTACCGAATTTCTCAAATACCGTGTGTATTTCTTGCCGAATTTCAAAAAGAAAGAGGGGCACTTGTCATATTCAAGTTCTGTACATTTTTGCGTGCTTTCTGATTTTTTTCCCCCCCTTTTGGCTTTGCCAAATTTTGGTCTACGTCTCACTCATCGCCGGGATATTTATATAAACATTTGTACTGTACATTGTTTAAATTTATTCTTCTAATGTCCGATGTCCCTTCGGTTCTTGCAGCTTTAAGAAGTAGTAAACTTGTTGGTACCGGAATTTATCAGGTTGCTGGAACGCTGAAGCTGCACCGTGTTTATATTGGAGTTCGTGACGAGAATTATATTTTTCAGTTAGTGAAGAAGGACCCCAGCTTTTTGGGCACTCGGACATGGTCTTCATATGGAAGGGTATACCTGAGACATTTCAATGAGTTGGATCACGAATTGAACTCACGCTTGAACCGTGGCTATTCTCCCGCTTCGAAGTACATGTCCAGCTTCACTACGCCATTTGTGACGGTGGTTGCAAAGTAAGTTTTAACTTGGTGCTTGCCTAGATGTTCTCGTGATTTTGAATTGCTTGCTATTTTTTTCTTGTAAATTACAGAAAATTCGCTTTTTTCTTCGGGGCACCTTTGGCTGTGCTGATTATCCTCACTGTCATTGATGAAGATGTGCTGACAGCGGAACATGCTCTCACGTTGATAACCGTGCTAGGTACGGTCGTCGCTTTGTGTCGGTATGTACGCAGAAATATTCGCCTTAGTTCAATTCTTAGTTTGGATTCGAGATACGGTACAGTATACCGTATGGAAAATATAATTAGTTTAGTCCAATTATTTTCTGCAAAAAAAAGGTAAGAAGCAGCTGTCGCCATGTACGCGTTGCTTTATTTGAAGTTGTTTTTGTAATAAGGGGTTTCATTCCTTATTTCCTAAAATGTTGGGATATTGAGACATCCTTGTCAAACATGCTCCACTCCGGCGAAGTGAATTTCTTCTGTTCACAAAAAACGTGTAGAGAATTTTCGGGAAAGAAGTAATACTACAGTAAAGTATTATTACTGTTGAACTTCTTTGAGTCGGAATTCAAGGATTAACAAAATTTTCGACTTATGGAGGTTTCGAATTAGGGAAGCTACTATTTTTGCGTTAAACGTTCATTTATACTTTCTTCATCTGTGACGAGCACGAAATAATTTAAATGTATCCATTTATTCTTTTACTTCCAGAGCTATGATTCCGGATGAAAACATGGTGTGGTGTCCGGAAATGCTGATGAACGCTGTGTTGGCGCAAGTCCACTACTTACCAGATTCCTGGGCCGGTAAAGCCCACACGAGCACTGTGCGGGATAATTTTGCTCAGATTTTTCAGCTGAAAGTTGTGAGTTTATCCTCTTTTGCAGGTTTGAGTCGTTCGAAGTGCTGAAGGTTTATTTTTTTTTCCTTATCCAAGGTGTATGTGATCGAGGAGCTGCTGAGTCCATTGGTGACGCCGTTCATTCTGTTCTTCATCATTCGCCCGCAAAGTCAAGTCGTCGTTGATTTCCTTCGGAATTTCACCGTGGACATCGTTGGCGTCGGTGACGTTTGTTCTTTTGCTCAAATGGACGTGAAGCGTCATGGTAGTCCTACGTGGAAAGTCGGGGAGAGTGAGGAAGGGGACCATGACGACGAAGCTGAAGACAGACCTGGAAGGGCCGGGAAAAACGATCCTCTTGTTCAGGTGAGATATTCGTGATTTTGAGCATGTTGATTTGCCGATTAATCGGTGAATTCGGAGTGTAAGTTAAATTTACTTTCCGGAAATGTTATGTGGGTTTTTCTAGATGCGGGTTTCTACGTGGATGAATAAGAAATTATTAAATTGGCCCGCATGTGTTGTCCGCTAGAACAAATATGAAGCCTCCCTTTTTGAAGATTTTATTACAGTAATTGAAATTTTGTTTTAAACTGGAAAAAATAATCTGACCCTGAATAACTTATTAATGTACAGTACGGGATAAAAAGAAAAGCTGCTTCACACAAATTATGCAATAAATTATTTTTTGTGAAATTTGTTTTTGGCTTGTGTTTAATTTAAAAAATATTGGAAGATGATTTGATTCATGAAGTAACCTTAGCAACTTGAAACACGTACAAAATTCAAGCAGAGCTTAAAGGATTCGGGGCAAGTTTATTTTTTGAATCCCGTTATTAATCGTCTTTTTTTTTGCTTTAGAAACGTGGTCTCTTCTCTTCAAGAACGAGTGGATTCCTTGACTCCGTTGAAACCGCAGAATTATATCTAGAGCTAATTTATGATTTTATGATATGTCAGACCTTGAAATTGACCTCATATTTCTTCTCACATCAACTCTCGATGCTCACAACTAAATTATTTCAGTTATCATTACTGTACTGTACAAAGGTTTTTTTGTTTTTGAAATTCTGTGATGTATTAACGGTTTTATTATTCAGTATAGTTCTTCGGTTTTCTGTGCAGTTCAGTGATGCAGGCCTCTTTTCCTCTAGAAAGCGAGGCTGGATGTTGTATGATAACTGAAATAAACTTTCCGTAAAACTTTCGCAAAGCGTGTCAGCGATGAGCCGATGACCTTATTTTACGCGTATTTTTTTGAATTTTAGGCGGAGAATGGGAAAACGGAGTTGTCATTGGTTCATTTTTCGCTGACGAACCCGGATTGGCGACCCTCGAAGGACGCAAACTTATACTTGACGAAATTGCAAAGACATGCTCAACGAGAAGCGATGGAGAGTCTCAGAACTGCCGACTTGTCAACTTTCAACCATTCGCTTGATACTGTTTCTCAGATCCCATTTGGGAATGGAATGGTTCGTTGCTTCTTACTCTTCCGGTTGGTTCATTCTTTTGTCCTTATGATTCCATCTTGTTTCTCTCCTGTTTTGTAGAGTGTTATGGGAGCTGGTAGTGTTTATCGACCTGGATCTGCTGCCGTGAGAAGTCGACAAGGTCCTTTACGAGGTGCTGTTGCGAATCTTGAAGGATCAATCGATGAAGATCTAAGCAAAGGGACGAGGTGAGATTATTGAATGTTATCCAGTGTAAAATTTGAATTTTCCCTCTTCTTCTGAGATTTAAAACTGTCTCGAGTTGCTGATTCAAGTCGAGAGAATCTTGGAGAGTTTTTTGTTTAAATTTTAACGTTCAAACGAGGAAAAGGTTTTTATTGACGAATGTAAATACGAGGGTAGCCCTACTTGGGCGCCACCTTTTCAGGTTAGGTATGACTAAACAAAATTTATGATGAAGCCCATGATGTAAGTTTCTGGAATTTTCCCCCGATTTTTAAATTTACTGCATGATGATGAGCGAAAATTTTCCAGTTATGACTCTCCCATGAGACAAGAGTTCTCCTCTCATGTGACAGGGTGCTAAAAAAAATTCAGGCCATCAAAAAATCGATTTTTAAACCATTATCTTTTGTTAATTTTAGACATTGGCTATAACTAAAAAAATTTTCAATTACATTTTTTTTACAGTCATAGAGAAATAACAAAGGTTTCACCAAATTGGAACAATTCTCGTATGGCTTGTTTGAACAATAATCATCAGTCCAAGGTTTGGGTTTGAGGCAACAGATTCTCGAATAGTTTCGAAATTCCTGTTGGCAGTAATTTTTCTTTTATAGTCAAAAGGTATAAATGAAGGAAAACATTGGTTTTTGCGTGTTTCTTGATGATGAAACTGAATCCGGCCTGTTGAAACAGTAGTCATCAATTTAAGTTTTGAACACAAAGCGAGAGATTCTTGGACGAGAGATCCTGTTGGATGTACAGTATTAGTTTTGTTTTGTATTGAAAAGCTTGAAGAAAAGACTTGTGACTTGTGAGCGATGGTTTTTGATAGATGAAGCTAAATCCTGTTCGTTCATACAGTGGTCATCAATCCTTCGGACTTGGGGACAGTCTCATGGGCACTTCTCGTGGAGTCCCGTTCTTTGGAGTGGGCAGTGTTCATCAGACAAACGCTGAAGCGATGGCTGCGTCCAGGATGATGGCGACTAGTTCAGCTGTCCAACAGGACCCTGCGACTGTGGATCGAATCGTGGAGTTCAACGTCACCAACATGAGCTTTTCGGCAGTGTATCTACACGAAATGCATCGAAGAAAGGTGAGTCTTTTTTCTTTTCTTGATGTAGTGGTGCCTCCCACAACGAACTTGGCGGTGGCTGTTCTACAAGCATAAAAATGTCGAATTTCAGTCTCGTAAAAATTCAAAAATAAACCTGTGGATTGATTTATTGACGTGGCGGAGTGCAATATAAATTCGGGTTAGATGATAATTATCCCTAATTCTTGGATTACAGTACAGAGCTTTTTCGAGCAATCACGCACTTTTTTGAGAAATGCATGGAAGGTGATGTTGAGATTGCATTGCCTCAGATTTCAATTTTTTACGAATGACTCACAACTTATTCTGAGAGAGGAATACTACCAAAGATTTCATTCTGAGGAAATCAACATTTTCTGTCAATCCTGGAAAATTTGACTGAAAATTAGCTTCAATTGTAATTTTCCAAAATTAATTTGAGCAAATTTGCAAGAGTAAGCTTCTTTTTATTCCCCACCACAGTTCGATCATTTAGTTTAAAATAAACTGTCTCGTTTGGGGAAGGATGAAATTTGCGACGTAATTTTCGAAGTGTTTCAGGAAAAATTCCAGTAAAGCGTAGCGTAGTACAGTACTTAAATTTCTTTCTCGACCGATCTAAAGTTACTTATCATGTTCCAGGTTTTCGGTCAGCGAGGAACCGGAAGAACACTGGCGCCTTTTCAGATGATTCCGGAAGACGATACAGAGTCATCTGTGACGAATCCATTCCTTTGAAACCTCGATTGGGCAAGCTCATCATCACTTGGAATTGGAATACTTGATTATGATGAGAGAGACGTCGATTGGATCATTAATCGGGTTTTTTTTTCTTGCATTTTCGATGAACTTTCAGTTCAAGAATGATTACGCGTGTGGGAAGCTTGCAGCATTGGTAGTCGGGAAAATTTTGTGAACGCAGTGTGTGGTTGATGACGAGTACGTTTCTTGCCTTCTTGTGGGATAACCCTTTCGGTGATGTTGGTCTGTTCATCACAACCGTGAAACGAGATATTTTGTTGGTGGAACATTGTGAACGTGATGGTTTTTTTTCTTATGTTTAGATTGGTCTAGTCTGTGTGACAAAAGGAGCTGCTGCTTCTTTTTTTTTACAAGGCCCAGTTCGAAGCGTAGCGAATCGTTTTTCATTTTTGCCAAAAAATAAAAATACACTTGATTGTGTTCCGAACGTGCTCCCGGTTCAGCAATTTATTCAGTTTTGATTCGCAGGATGTGATTTATTTTTTATCGCACTTCAATGGAAGATTTTGTTACTTTGATGTTATGAATATTAAAAAGTAACTATTTGGTCGAATTATTGCAGAGGCATATGTAATTTAATGGAATGAGAACTCCATCTGTTAGTTGTGTTTCTTCCGAACAGTTAGAACCAGTGATGCCTAACGTCTGCTCCTTGGAGCGCGAGGGTTTCGAATGTAATTAATTTTCAAGAAGCAGGTTAAACTGTCAATTTTAACACGACAGGCATTGCTTATTTTTTCAACAGCCAGAAAGGTTTGGAAACCACAAGGATTAAGCGGTGCTGCAGAAAAACCCGTTTCCTTTCGAATTTTTAAAACAGACGAAGCTAGCAATTGGAAGATCTGTATTGCAGAACGAGATGAGACAGACACGAAGAACTGCATTTGTAATGCAAGTGTCGGCAAAAAACTGAACATTGAAAAGTTTCGCTCGTCAGAAAATGAACCTGTACTTTGGCAAGCTTCAAAATGTCCTATATTTCGCTCTCGTTCAAAAAAAAAATCTCGTATCTAAACCACACAACCTTTCCCCATCGGTTTCCCCGACCATCCGTGAATTCAACAGGACAAACCCAAGCATCACCACCCGCTTATGCATGCAACAAGGAATGAAGAGAAGCATTCGAACAAAATCCGCGTTTAGATGCGACCATAGAGAAACCATAGTAATACGCGATACATCCACTGCAAACCACATAAGCATTGAAAAGATATCGAAAAATCTTCAGTTCCCTTCTCTCGGTGAAAATTGCGGGTTCAGGGGGCCGCGAGTGAAGGATCTCAGTTCGTACGCTGTTCCTCCCTTCTTGTGCAACATGGCAGCATCCATATCAGATTTCCGAAATACGATCATTCTGATGTCCGTGTGTAGATAGATGTGACCGGACTTGGTAGAAGCAAACCTACAACACAAATTAAAGTAGCGTAAAAATTTAAAAATTCAACATAGAATTAAATGCAAAAGTTTAACAGTTCAACTTCTTCAAGTCGAATTTTAAGGGACCAGCTAAAGAAAATCGAGTTAGGGAAACGAGCATTCTCGTAAGAGACATGAAGAATTAAGGGAAATAGTAATGGTGATATTCTGTTCCTTAAATTGCTATTTAAATGTGACAGGGTGCTGAACTTGGAGGCAAGAGTTCATTTGCTCAATTAGTCTTTCACTTTCTATCAAAATGCAACAGGTTACATTTTTTTCCTGTTGTCAATGCAATAACAGACAAAAAGCCCCCAGAAAATCCGAGTAATGGCTTTTAGGAGGAACGCCTCGAGTTATGAAGTTTTTTAGCTCATCGTTTCTAACGAAATTTAGACAGGGGCTTGAAAAAAAAATCAACATAGGGAGGTTCGAGTTTTCGAAGTTCAACTAACTGCGAATTATTCAACTAACTAAATTTAAAATAACGGTTAACAAAGTCAGTAAAATAATCACCTCAAGTGGATGAGGTAGCGCAACCACTTCTGGGCGTCCGTATGTTGATCGGACGCCCCCACAGGCATGTAAAGAGTTCGCTGCCGGAGGAACGTCCGACAATTGGGCGGCATCTGAGACAAGTCGTACACGATGACGAACATCTTCACAACTGTCCGCAGCGGGTTGAAAAGCGTGACTTGTATGGTTCCCTGCTTCGGAACCCGGTAGCCCTTCTTCCCCAAATTTATATGCCCCTGTCGAGAGAAAACGGAAGTCCGTCACAGCCATTTGATATCCAAAAATGAGTATTTCCTCCCACAAGTTCACTGATTTCCGGATATTAAGCAATAAATTAAATATCTCCCGACATTTTTCATTTTATTTTTTTTTGAGCTCAGGACACACCTGAAACAGATTCCATTATTTCGTTCACATCAAAGTGCAAAGAAAAAAATCTTCCTCAGCATCCGGACGAATTTAGGGAATCAATTAAATCCGGAAGATGGGAAGGCCCCACGGTACGCCGAATTTTCCTCGCCTGTGCTCTTCCAAACGGAAGCTTTACATCTTTATCGTACCTCTTCTAAGAATCAACATGCATTTTTGGGTAATTTAGTATAATTAAAACTAGGACAGAATTTCTCTAGTCATATAATGTTCAGACAATTTTCTGGAAATGAATCACCCATTTAAACTTTGAGCAATGGATATTCTTCCTATCCTGATGGCGCGCACTCAAAAAAGGGGCGATTTCACACGATGTTTAAACTACAGGGCAGTAATGTAAATTACTTCAACAATCCCAGAAATGATGCGAGAGTAATGTACTGTACTGGTAAACTATTCGAGAGATTGTTCAACATTTTTAATTTTCGTCTCATGACGTCAAGATATCTTCGGAAGGGTATCATCGAGTAAGCTTTCAAAAAACGTTACCTTTTTCTCACCGAGTCAACACGAAAATAATGAACATTTCCTCTGCTATCCCAACTAAAATATTCGCATTCAATCGAGTACCACACGCACTTTTTTTTCTCAAATTTGAGTTGGGTGGGAAAAAGGGTGTGCGTCAAAAGAGAGGAGAAATCTTTCACATTTTCTTCATGAATTTCCGTTGAATTGTTTTTCTTTTAGTCTAATAGGAAAAATGTTGGACCTACATTAACAGAAAAACTTAATTTTCACAAAAACAATTGCAAAACAGTCAAATTCATATTCAATCCACGTCAAAATTCAAATTTGGAATTTCTATATTCATGAAACATTGTGACTTCAGACTTATTAAAAATGGGGTGCGCATCTTACTGGGGGATCAGATTTGGTCAAAATCTTCAACTGAAAAACCCCTGTTGGCATGGTACTCTAGTAAATACAGAACAGGTAAATGTACAATACAGTGAGACCTGCACATGCAGACTCCTTGACATGGGGACAATTTGACATAGGGACACTTATTTTTCAATAAAAAATCATTTAAAAGGCCCAACATACGGACCCTGACTTGGCATGAGGACATTGCATGATAAAATTGCCAATACATTTTAGGAAAATTGACTTTTGTTAGGCTTTAATTGCAAGAAACAGATACAGTATTTCCAACCCTAGGATATATGCAAGAAAAATTCTTTAGTACTTTTCACATCCATTCTGCTAATTTAAAAATATTACAGAGGGAGTTCCTTCTCTCTTTGTGACTTGAATGTTATTTTTTACAGATGCCAACATTTCAATAACCTGTTCAGCAGCAGTATCATATTCAATGCTCCAAATGTTCTTATTGGGCTGAAAGATGTTCCCTCAATCATATCAAAATGGCAAACAAATTTTTTTCATGGAATTCAGAAGAATATATCTTCCATAAAACACCAACTAAAAATCATACAATATAAGTCTTTGCGAAAACAAGACTCAACTTAGGGACAATTCAACTTAAGGACACTCTTGACACACCAATTATGTTCGCATCTGGGGGTCTCGCTGTATATGGATCAATTCATCACTTCTGCTACTCACCAGGTACGGCGACGAGACCTGGTCATTATCACAGAGCGTGTAGAAAAACACAGTGACGGGCACAGTGAGGTGCTTGGGACAAAAGGACCCACTGGCGCCGATCTCCGCATAGAACCCCTCCACGGTGCTCACGGGTTCCAGGCGACCATTCAGCACCGACTCTTCGAAATTGCCCAGCAAGGAGGATGAGATCACCGACGCCGGAGGTGCCGAGCAACTCATGGGACGAGGCGGTGAATCCACCTGGAAAACACACATCAGTTTTAAGTAACGCACTGAAAGAACAGCAATGTACCCTCAATAAAAGTTTCTTTTTTCCCCCCACACGTAATTCAATGACAAACGGTAAAATTGCTTCATCATGTTGGTTCACGTTTATAAAACTTGGAGGAAGAAATTTACTCTTTTTGTTTTATTTGACAGAATAATTTTTTTCCTCACTCCCTCACGTTTTCTGGTCACATGAAATTCGAATTCTTCTAAAATTGGTAAAATATATACTTTTTTTAACGTTGATCTCATTCTGAGCGAACTTCAGTATCTAGTAATAGTCTACCGTATGAAAGTACAATATTCTTTCTGCAACAATTTTCATCAACATGAAATGAACTCTTCACTTAAGGATATTTATTAATAAGCTCAGAATATTCTGAAAGTTCTTTAGCCTTGATTTTTTTGTAAAAATGAAAAAAAGGGAATGCGACTTTTTCGAAAGTCGCATTCTCTCATAAAAAAAAACAACTTTTGCAATTTTTGAACATCAGAAATTCCAATCCGACGTACTGTAGTACTAAAAGCACTCAAGTTTACAAGCGCTTCAAAACTTGTACAAGACTAGCGTAATTCCATCAATAATTTAGCGGATTTTGAAGATACATTTTGCGCTCAATAAGGTTAAATCCATTACACTTTTTAATGATTTCGAATCAGACTGCCAGTGTTTTCAATCTTCATTCTACAAGTACCCAATCAATTCGTACAGGGCGCTTAGTAGGGGATTTCGTGAGGGAAAATTGAGCAATTATACCGCAGTTCGATTCCAGTACTGAAATAAACATTTTCGATGCGAACACGTTGGGAAGGTATAGGAAAAAAATTAAGCCAGGAATCATTTGAATGATAGTCCCTGCATTGTTTATCAAAATTGCGCCTGAAGCCAATCAACCCGAATGAACAACTCCATCAATGAATTTTGAAAATAAATTGAAGTTTGACCGAAATTTACTCATACAGACACTAAATCACTGCAATACAATGTGCAAAGAAAAAATAAATATTGACACTGTTCCAGTCACCATCAATTTTTGGAAACATCACGCATCACCGATTGAATCACTGAATCTGAACGATCTTTTCTGGAAAATACTGATTAACAGTGTCGAATGAACAGCTTCAGTTTCTATTATTGATGGCCATAATTATAGAAATGAATATGAAGCAACCAAGAGAGAACAAATTAACAAACATGAATGAAGAAATTGAACATTTCCACTCAGATCGGAACAGTTTTTCTGCGATTTTAGTTACTTGAAAGATTACTTTATGGAGTACACGGAAAATAACGAACAAGGTGAGTACAGTAAACTACGACAGAATCATTGAAAGCCACTTGTAAAACAAAACGCAGTTTCCATCATACGGAAACGTAATATCCTACGATGACTAAGTGACGTTGATATTAATCTCCTAATGTTCATGACTTCATCCCTGAGATGGGTTTTTAAAAAAGAAAAGAAAATTTCAGCAGCCGTTTTCAACATACGTGGCGACTTGATTCTTATAAAGACTGAAAGACCAACGGATTAACCCCAGAAAATTCTGAAGATAATCACAAGAACCAGTTTTTGAAAAACTACAATTTCAATGGCAGTTCATGTTGAACAGGGACGAGAAACTTTTGAAGACTGAAAGGCGTAAATTAACCTTCGGTATTCGACAACAGAATCATTGAAACAATTTTAAAAACCTGAAATTTAAGGTGGAGTATTATTTGAGAATTATCTTGGAGACAAGTTCCCAGATTTCTTGTTTGAAAAAAAAAAAAAAAAACCTACCAATGAGTGTTGTAGACGCATTCTTCTTCTTTCCAGCTTCGTGTTGGCATTTTGAAACGACTTCTCAGCTTCGACCACCGGTTCTGCGTCATACAATGCGCTGGAAGAATCCAAGAAAATAATCGTTTCAAGTGATTAACGACATTAATAAATAATTTCAACACACCGTAACTGCATTTTAAAAACCATTAACTAACCCTTCATGAGGTAGAACTTCCAAGGAAAGATTGATTCTCCCCTCTTTATTCGCAAGTAAACTCGCTTTACCCAATCATCCTTTTTTTAGTGATATTAAATTGGGACCCAGTAGAAGATCAATTCAATATGCCGTATTAATGTCAAGGCGAGTGAAATTCGATATACAGTACATTTTTTCATACTCCCAATATGTAATTAATTATAAAATTACGTAGGTACTGCATGCTCCTTCGTTATTCAAACTCCCATCACTTTTTACGAGTACTCCCAGCACAGTAATGGAAAAAGTGTATCACACATATTTCGTCAAAAAGACTTTGCAAGATTCATTCTATCAATCAAGTGTATTCGCTGCAACGCAGGGATTGGTCTCGAAGAATAAACTGGCAGCATAAAATAAGTCTTAAATAAGTGCACATAAAAAAATTTATTGAAGCACGATGCAAGATTGATCTTTTAATACCGAGTGCACATCCCTTGCCCCAACCTTAATGGACAAATCTTTTCATTTTTTTGTCTGAGGGCTTGACTCACTGGACTCTCATATCTTTTTACTACAGTATTTCGATACTCTTGGTCTTCCATTTTCCGTCTGTCTCTCACCTTTTGATAGCGTGGACGGAAGTCAAACTCGAGTCAAAACCGAAATCAGACGCCTTTCCGCGTCTGGCCGGGGCAGGTGACGAAGTCAGTGGCAAGCCCGTCCTCTGATGAAAAACCAACGACGCTGCGGAATCCAGCGATCTGCGAAACTCGTCCTGCGCAGTCCGCGAAGGCACATCCCGCTTGGCCAACCGAGCCTCGGAAACATGCAAAGATTCTTCCTCGATGTCTTCGTCCTCTTCTTCACGATCATCTTCGCCGGGTTTCTCACGTTTCTCCTCATTTACCACAGGTTCCGAATCCACACAGCGAGAGGCTTGGCCATCGAATGTTAGTGCCCTGCGCGCATGCGACTTTTGCGAGTCTTGACTATTACAATCCAAAGCGTTTTCGTCCCTTTTCACGGCATCCGCACGCAGCGACGAAGCGATCAATGCCAATGGGGACTGTTTCTTGACTGGTAATGACGTCGACGCTCGAGTAACACGGCTCTGTTGAATAAATAATCCAAGAGATTTTTTTTTTCATTCGCTTGAAGAACAAGGCCTACGAACCAAAAGCGAACTTCGCGCTGAGCCTCGCTCAAGGACTTCGTTTTTATGTTAATCAAAATGGCTCACCCATGGAGCGTCAGAAGAAATTAAACGTGAGTAAAAATTCGCTCTATGTTCTTTGTGCGCCAGATTCACAACGGAATTATTTATTGGAGTATTTATTCACGGATTTTAAAGCGACTCGCAGACGAACGTATCACTGCAACACTCGTTGACGTTACCATTCAGCACCTCCCGTACAGTAAATTTAAGTCTACCCAAGCCAAGTTCCTCACATCTTTACACGAATACACAGAAGCGGATGTCCAGTACAGTACAGCTACTGCATAGTACCTTGCTGCTGATGGAGTCCTGTTCCACCGGCAGGGAGTTGGAAAGACATTTATACTTGAGCGTACGCTCTTTGATCACGCGGGCGTCGACACATGTCTGCACACTGGTATGCCCATTTTCAACGGACTCCTTGCAAGTAGCGGCAACAGATTCCTCTTTACTCGTTCGCAGTGCAGCACCGCGGAGCAATTCCGGCGGTTTGTTATCTTGCGAAGGTGTATCACAGCGACCAGCCAGCGTCTTCCGAGTGCGCTGGCTGCCTCCACCACCACATGGTTTCCTGTGACATGGATTCATAACGAGTTAAGACATTGAATTGTTATTCAGCTCAAGCGCGTATAGGCATTGAATTTCAAATAAAATTCGAAAAAGGAAGTCACGCGATGTGAATTACGAATTGCTTCTTACCGCGAATAGTTATTACCGGCATGTCAAAAAAATCTGATGGTTCAGAATTTTCGATGTCACGCATCAAATGAATAAGGGCATGAACTACGATGGTTGGTTCAAAAATTTTTGTCAGTATCGTAATTTATGAAGTTTTTTAAGTAGCCTACATCTTCTAGTCGAAACCCTGCAAAATGATTTGGAATGAATACTTTGAAATGAAGCAATCACTCGTTTATTTTATTGTCATGAATTTTCTTTGATTACTTTGCAGACCAGAGTTGGTCAACTTCTTACACAAGAATCGACATTTCCGGGCTACACCCACATTTAGTGTCCCCATCAAAATATTGTGAAAGAAAGTAAAGTCAAATCCCGATTTAGGCCCAACATTTTTCCCGGCACTAAATCAGGGGTATTTTATGAGAGAAAGATTTAAATTCAGAGATGAGATTGAATTTTCAAAACTATCCGAAGCATAAAGGGCATGTGATTCTCAAGATTAAACTGAAATTCCTAAGAAATATGCGTTAATTTCTCAGATTTTGGCCGTTTCAATTAAGGACAGGAATTTATAGCGGCACTTAGTGAGTTGGAACTGAACTGGGGGTTTCCTTAAAAGAACACAATATCTGTTCCAGGGAAATTTGTAGCACTAGATCAAGGGTTGACAGATGCAAATTATAAAACGAACTTTGGTTCAAACCAAGAAAATGTATCCTAGCGTTTGATATCCCTAATATCAAGTCAAACTTCGAAGGCATAAAATTGACACAACTCATGAACCAAGCCTCGTGTAATCCGTCACACGGGGAGCTTCTTACAATTTACAATTGCGACATTACCTGAATTGATGATGAAATCCGGGGAACGCATTTTCAGCGTCCAACGAAATGCTTCTGTACAACATAATACACAGGAAGTCCACAGATATACTGTACTCTTCCCCTTCTATACGTGAAAATCGCAGACTATTGAAAAAATTTCAACACGTTTTAGTCAACTTATCAATGTCTTTCATTCACATAATCTCGACCTAGTTTTGAACATAATTCGCCGCAGTCCACTTCAATCAATTTGATCAAACTCAAAACTTCGCAATTCATGTAGAATCGTACACTTTTTTTCACTCTGGATTCTAGCCAAGAAAAATGAACACTTCCACAAAAAACATTCATCAAGAAGGTTACAACACTCATTCGCCGTGTTTCAGCGGTCACTTCGAATTGTCAATGCCTTCCACTCATGAGAACCTTCCCGTTTTTTTCCGCGCCGAATTTTTTCGGGACACCAATCAATTTGATGAATCGCACCCAACTCATCAATTCGCGCAGAATTTTCCGGAATTCTGGACAATTGTGGGAATCTATTGATTGTTCCTTCACAAACGAGCTCCCAGATACGCACTTGCACATGAACAAAGAATTGTTCTATCACTCCACGAGTTTTCTTCCGCAAGAACACAAATTCGTGTTGCATAATGTTTCTCCACTGATTGATTCCGTGCAATCCGAACAAAGACATTGGTGGACGACAAATTGAATCGCAGCAATGCGGACCCGGACCGCTCCAAGCAACACTTACACGCACAACCTCTGCCTTGTTTCATGGTGACACAAACTATAGAAGAAAAGAATTGTCCAGAGAGCGTGAAGTTACCTGAGAACGGAGAGCACTTCCCGAACTTCCCGCGGTGTGAGCTGGAACGCAGCAGACAAAGGCGTCTTCGGAGCACCGGAGGTCTTTTTACACACAGCCTGCTTTTCATTGCACTTGGTTCCTGGTGAAACACGTCCGCAAGAACTTCGGTTCGAGAACTCCCAGGGACATTCGGGAGGACGACCCAAATCTGAAGGAGGCAAGGAAAAAAAAACGAAAAACGAAAACACATCACCTTTCAGTTTTTCTAGCAGACAGTGAATAAGATGAAGGTATGCACCGAGAACAGATTTATCGAAGAGGTTACAGCAAAAACGCGCCCCGAAGAAAAGCTCTCCTTGACCGAATGATAGCTACACTGAATCATATGAATTTACTCCATCTTCATTTGAATTCTCTCTTTTGATGTACAGTACTGCACTACGTAGGTCTGGAGTTCGGTCGGTCATAAGATTGCCAACGAAGAAAAACCTGCGGGTCGTCGAAAATTCTAGAAGATTCAACTACTGTACTGTAATTCATTCGAAACGTCGCCCACGCGAACATATGGCTTACAATTACGGTACTTAACTTCACTGCTGAGCATCAAGTCGCCAAATCGACATACAGTATTAGACCCGAACAAAGAATTCCCGGGAATTTCGCAGCAGGTTCGTGCAATTAACATGCTATACCACGCCATGATTCATTTCTCAGTAATACAGAAAAAAATGAGGAAGGGAACGGCCTTAGCTATTTTGTGTGTTTGTATAGCTGTGTCCAGGGAAGGCTTCAAGGAAAAAACGTATGCACAGTTTATAAGAATTTATATACAGTACATTTACTGTATACGGAAAACCAATTGATCATTGTTGAGGATACAGTACTGTACTAACAAAGACAAAAAGGTGTGGTACAGTACTGTACATACACCATTGCTCAGGTATACCATATTTACTTAGAAACCCTTTTTTCCAAAATTTCTACTAAAGAATAAGGGCATGCATCATAGGCAGTTAATTATACAGGTTTCCCAACCTTTTTGAAGTTCAGGTGTGTCTCACATTTGAGTCACTAATGGAGAATGTTAGCTCTATAAAAATACTTTTTTTAATAAACTAAATGCAATTGAAACCCATTTAATTTAAGCTCAACTGAGGGTACAATAAGACTTTCAGTACCTTTCTACTTATGGAATATTGCACTTTTGCAGACACAAACATGGGGATTGCATCTCATTCAGGGATAGTTTCTTATTAACATATTTGTATGCTGAAAATTGGAGGTGCATATCTTGCTCAATGGCGCAAGGTACTCAAATGAATAAAATATGAACCTAGGGAAAATACAAGTGTTTTTTCTTTCGGGGACCATAGACAAGCCTAATTTCCAATGCAAATAACTTTGATGGGATAAAGGTACAAAATACATTGCTAAAAGAGGATCAATGTTAAACTTATTGCCTGTCATTTGAGCATTTTTTATCACAAGAGTAGAAAAAAAGATCACTTTGGATTGTCCCTCTCTTGATGACCAGGCCAGGAAATGATTTTCTTCGCTTTAAAAAAATCATTTCGGCCAAATTCTTCAAGTTGAGTAAATTTTGTTCATAAACTCATCAAATTTGATGTGAGAGAGGTTCACAACTGCTTCGCCATTTTCAAAGAAGCATGATGCAATGCAGCACCCAAAACAATGAATGAATGAAAGAAGACTCACCTCTGTCAAATGAGTCACTCCTGGGCCTGAAAAACAGGCGGTCAGGCGCCTCCGCACACGGCGACCCCGACCTGGATGGACTCTGGTAGCGCTTCACAAACTTCTCCAGCTTCTGCGGCGGGTCCAGCAGCACGTCGCCAATCGGCGGCCCTCCAACGGCGCCCAAACTCGTGTTCTCGCAACTGCCGCCAGTTAGGCGGCTCTTCATCACGCTCAGGCGAAGATTCTCATCATCCGCACAGCACCCGGGATTCGATTCCGGCTTGGGCCCATTTTCGCTTTCAGACGAGCAATGCGCGCAAGGTACGTTCGGCAGAGTTTCCGACCTCGGTGCAGACTTGACAGATATCTAGATAAAAGGAAATTATATATAAAAAAAAAGAAATCATGCATCAGTTCCAAGTGTCCATTGTATTTTGCCTGGAATCTTTTTATTTTCAATTGTTTTATCTGTCATAATTATATTTGCTATTGCCATTTTATTATTATCAAACCTCTGAAAGCAGTTGTGGATATAAGGGGAGAACGTAATTCTTAATTTTATGCACAATAATAATGCTTCGAAAACTTCGATAATTTCAAATTTCATTTTTGACTGAGAGAAGTTATGGAAGGCATTATTCCCCCGAAATACTGTACAGTACTGTATTCCATTTACTGAACCTTCCGCATAACAGAGCTCCAAAAACAAATTATACCTTACCTCGGAATTTTCAGAGTTAGGAAATATTGTTAAATTTGTGTTATTTTTATAAAGGAAAATTATTTTCGTGCCTAGTGGGTTTGCATCAATAACACATACAGTAGACCACTCGACTATACGAGGGGTTAACACGGTTTCGCGCGGATCAGCTCGTTGCCGCTGTTATAAGGGAAGTTTCAAAATTCAACAACTGAACATTTCAAGGCCTGTTATTTCGAGACATGGATCGAAAGGGCTGAGAAGTGTGTACAAATTGGTGGTGATTACATTGAGAAGGTGTCTGCAAATCCTCTTGAAACTAGTGAAGATGAAAAAATGTTTGAAAATACAGTAAGTAATCGGTGCTCAGATCATTTCAAGTCCGCGCGGAAACGTGTAAAGCACTCGTAGCGAAATTGAGTTGATTCCGATTTCGAGTTTACTGTGGGGGTGAAACGTATTCTTTCCGTGACTCAGGGTTCTTTTCCCTCAAAAGGTTGATGTAAACCCACTAGGCCAGAAAATAGTTTTCCTTTATAAAAATAACACAAATTTAACAATATTTTCTAACTCGGAAAAATTGCCTTCCACAACTTCTCTCCGTCAAAAATGAAATTTAAAAATTTCAACGTTTTTGAAGTACGTTTATTGTGTATAACATTAAGAATTACGTTCCCCCACTACATCCACAACTGCTTTCAGAGGTTTGATAATAATAAAATGGCAATTACAAATATAATTATGATAGATGAAAAAATTGGAAAAAAAATATTCCAGGCAAAATACAATGGACACTTGATTGAAAAGAAATAATGGATGACTGATGTAATTGCTGACATCATAAAGAAAATAACTCGGTGTCCAATTTTTGCAGGTCCCGAAGATATTTTAAAATCATCCGTTCATGTCTCCCAAAATACGGAATTTGTCTTGTGATACTAATTGGGAATCAGCATTTATTCCATAAACTTTTAAAAATTTTCCTGCAAAATCCCTTACCCGGGTTTTTTTTCCCCACGCCAAGACTTTTATATCAAGTAAGGAGTTCTGAAAACGCAATTTTTATTTTTCTCAGGATACCCACACGCGACAGGGATTGATCTCGATGATGAAACCCGTTATTCCGAGGAAATCCCCACAATGCCCACCGCATCGTCAATAACTCTCGCAAAAAATTGTCTTTCTTTGTCATTCGGAAGACCCAGAAGCCTTTAAATTCAAGAAGGGCATCTTTTGAAAAGGGAACACACTTGAATAAAGAGAAAAGAAAATTATCAGTTTGCCCAGAATTTCAACCTCTTTGTAGCGGTACCACTCTGAATACGCGCCAATCATAACGACGCCAGAAAATCACTAAGAACCTTCCCCCTAAAAAAGCTTCCGAAACCTTTTTATCACAAGAAAACAGATAATTTAAAAATTTTGTAATTGTCACCAGATGTGAGAATGAGAAACATGATATTCTACACAATTACAAAATAAAACATTTTAAACTCTCTAAACAAATGTCAAGCAAAAACTGTTGAACGAGTGGGAAACTACGGCCGCAACCGGAATGATTTCAATTCTCATAATGCAGCGTCTTGAAAAAAAGTTTAGAACTTGAGATAAGAATAGCAAAAACCCACAAAATTGTAGCAGTCGAAACTCTTTAAGTCGAATTTCAAGGGACCTGCAAAAAAATCGACTTAGGGAGGTCGGAAATTTTATAGGTTGGAACTGCAATACAAAGCCCTTTTTTTCTGGAAAACTTGGAAACAATTTAAATGGAGATATTCTAAAGCTTAAATGGCTTCTTAAATGAGTTGAAAGGCTGATAAACTTGGAAGAGGCAGCAGGGGTTTATTTTCCCAATTACGTCTTTCACTTCCTTTAAGACACATTTAGTTTCTGTTTTTATTGCTTTTTTTCTTTATTTTTTTCAAGAAAACAATGGCCAACAGGCCAAAGAAAATTCGACATACAGAGGTTTGAGGGGAAAAGCCTTTGACTTAGGGAGGTTTTTTAGGTATTGTTTCCAAGGGGATTCAGAGGGGATCTGAAAAAAAAAAATTCGACTTAGGAGTGTTCGAGTTATCGAGGTTCACTGTAGTAAAAATCATAATTTTTAATAAATTCAAAGTACACTGGGAGTAACTAAATTTGCGCGGAACTGGGACAAACCTCGTTTGCAGAACCATCCTTTGCTAGGGATCTAACTCTATCCAAGACCTAAAACTCAATGTATCCAGGAGAAAAATGCCAGGTGAGAAAATGCCAGACGCAAAAATTATCCTTGAATCATAATTTTACGCTAATTTGTAGTATACCCACCAAAATTACTTTTAAATGTTGAAGCAAACCTTGGCTCAGACAGCAATACAGTTGTTATCCCTGGAAACGTAGTAAGTTACGTGCGTCTCCTTTTAATCAGGATGGGAAATGATTAAGTACTAAAAGTCTATTCCAGACAAAAATAGTCTTTATTCAATATAACACAGTATTCACAATATTGACCACAAGACACAGGGATCTGAACCTTCTGAACTGTACTGTCTCCTGAGCTAAAATGCCTAAATGTCTTAATCCTGCCAGGGGTTTATATACGGGAGAATTGGGGTAGATTTCAGAAGAGGAGTAGGTCATGCGCGTGTGCAGGTATCATTTAATGATTGCCACGCGCCGACAGGTATTGCGCAGGTAAGGGGTTGCCATGCGTTGGGGTTTCTATGCGTGCGTCGTCAGGGGTCCACGCGTCATCAAGGGTCCTCACGTGTCTGTCAGTCCACGTGTTCTTGGGAAGGACAGGGAAGGGATGGAAGAATATTAATATATTTTATATATTAATCCATTATCTCTTCCTGGTGTTATGAATAACACCAAATATCAATATTCGCTTGACAGCGAATACTCTTGCAATATATATCGGGGAATCGTTATAAAATTTCCACCAATAACACAGTACAGTACATACTTTTTAAAAATATACCCTGGTCTTTCTTTCTAATACAGTATTTCAAGGGTATTTTGTAGCAACTTTCATATGATTCCTTCTACTGAACAATTTTTGTATGTTTTCCATCTTCCATTATTTGTTTCCTCCAACATAAATAAAACAACTATAATTTTTTTGCAATGACAAAAACTCAATTTGAGTCCATGAAGAAATTTAACTGTTATTTCATAGTGTATTTAAATGATACGCACATTATCTTTCATGCTAAAAATGTCATTAATTCAACCCTTCATTCAGCTGCTTTCAACTGGAGCAAAAAGCAGAGGGGTTCATTTCAAAACATATAATTCTCTCTTTGTTTTTAACATAATCACTCAGAGTTAAACTTGGCCAGTCCAGAAAATACAATTACTTATTCCTCGCATAATAAAAGAAAAGCCTCTCGCTTGAACTCTAAAACTTTAATCTATTCATCACGTTAAAATTATTCGCATGGAATTTACATTGTTTTCGGTTTAATACACGGAAGCCGATACGAAAAAAAAAAACAAATACGCCAAGCATGGTCAAACCAACTGAATAGAACAACATCGTATGCTATTTGCATGCATCAAAATTCACACGACTTCCTGGCCTTAAAAAAACAAAAAACAATTCAATTACATTCGCATCGGGGTTTTCAGGAAACCCGGAAATTTGATGAATGTTTTTTTTCTTTCAACGCAGTGGATATTTTGTGTTCGGGCTTTTTTTTCATGGAAAGAAAAACGAGGTCAGTCAGTCCTAATATCTTCGACCCCATGGCAAGGATTTTTAGCGATAACCGGTATATTTGCTTTTGGCTGTTTGATCAATATTGTATATGAAAACCGGACCACAGACGCTGATAAAACGGCTCGTAAAACCTCAGGTCAGATTTTAAGGTCAACTACCAACAGACGCTTTTTTTTCTTGGTCTGGAATCGGGAAATCGATAGCGCCGTATATTCATGATCAAGAATTCGAACTTTCCAATCATCCACAAACGGAAAATTATAAATGTTTAATCAATTCTGGTTTCAATTATAATTCCATTATCAAAATTTTTAGATGCTCAACCACGGCCATGTTTTTAGGTCACATATAACAACAGAGGCTTTCGTGTCTGGACTCTTGAAATCATTAGTACCGCATTTATGATCAATAATTCGAATTTTCAATCATCTAAGAACAGGGAGTCAAAATGTCAGAAATTATATAGAGAAACCGTTTATCACAATGGTAAACTTTTCAAATAATGGACAAAAACTTGGAATTGCATTTTTCACAAGCAGGTATTAAATTTCAGAAAAGTCAACGGCTGCCGAGTTTGTTCACTCTCAAAAAGACAATCATTCACATGATGTGACCTCAGGCGATTTTTTTTTTCCTCGTCATACAGTAGAAAAACTCTGGAAATTTCACACATCCATGACCTTTCGAGGAGACTGATGGGAAAAAATAATTTCCCCAAGTAACGCGACTTCAAAGAAAGGTGCTTTCTTCGGGCTTCCAGCGGAACTGAAATTAATTTAAAATCCATCAAACGTGAGAACCAACGTCAAGGACAACTTCAAGAGAATAAAAAGCGAATCATGATAAAACTTCACCCGACCTTCATTCTGCAATTTTATTTTTTTAATGTGAAGACTTGTCATGAAAAGGAATCTATCGCATTTATTTATGTCTACCTCGTAAAAAAAAAGATCGCGAACCCAAAACGAAGAGAAGGCGAATCTATCACGCAAATGACTCTCTTGCAAGAAATCAGCTTCCTAGGCACAGAAAATAATTTTTTTTGCTCAGCGTGCAAAAAAAAAAAAAAACGATGAGCAAAAAAAATAATGTGCGCGTCATAGTCAGATATAAAATGTTTCAAACATTTTAAAAACTTTCAGCGTACATCTTCATGCGATTCTTCAAGGAAATTTCCGACCAATTTCAAAATCATAATTTATCTTCAAATGGAACCAATTAAAAATTACAACGCAATGAAATTCAATTAAAAATTTAAATTATGATTCGTCTTACTTTCAAAACATTTAAATTTTCAGGTACTGTATTAAAATGAGTTGTGTGCTTTGCTTGGGGATCCTTTTTTGTCCATTTATTTAAAATAAGAAAATATGGTAAGTCTTTTGCTCAAGTTTACATAGTACTCAAGTAAATACTTAAATGGTACCTACATCCATATCGTATTTGTCCAAATATCAACACCCCCTAGATTTTACATGCACAGAATTGAAACCACATCAATGCGAAAATACATACACCCACTGACAGTCCAAGAACCCAAAATTTCGGATTAAATTTAGGTTTTCCCACGAAAAGGATAAACGGTGTCAAACAACCCTTGATCTTCCTCTCTTCAGTTATTGACTCATGCAATTTTGAAGTGCTAGAAGCTGACCACTTCTTGGTTATTCTTTTTAAACATCAGTTCTAAATGAACAGAAGAAAATGAAGGCTTGACCGTTTCTTGGGTGGCAAAAAGGGAGATTTCCCGACATAGACGCATATTTACGCGTGAATAAATATGCGAACATAAGTTTCACACATTATCTTGTCTGCGTTTCAGATAATGGATAAAAAAACCAAATGATGCAATTTTTTTTTACCTAGCGTGACAAACTCTTAGCCCTCTGTGACATGGGTGGAGAACTCCAGCAATTGAGTTTTCACTCATCGCGATACAGTATATACATTTTCCAAAAATTGGGTTCAGATAATGGACCCGAGGATTTACGAGGATTTTTGTTTTGATATTTTTGTAATATGGATACAGTATAGAATTTTTTTAATGGGGCATACGAGGTTTGTCCAAAAAAATACATACTGTATATGTATACTGTACGTACTGTATATATACAAAAAATTCCAAAACTTCAGAACACCGTGGGCTACGTCATGATTTTATTCATCTATTTTTTTTTTCAATCACGCCTACTCTAAAATTACTGTACCAGAAATTGCGTCTAACTGGGACAACCCTTGAATATCCTCCCATTAATATGTAAAAAAAATTAATGAAAATATGCATGTATGAACGAATGGGTGGAATCAACTTAATCAACTCACCGAGATGATCTCCCGGTTGTTGTCCACGCAGGCAGCCGGGAACACGTGCTCGGTCACAGAGCCCGGGTCAGGGAACCCGTGGGCGAGCTGGGTGGAAGCGTCCACAGCCACGCCGACTCTGTAGAACACATTCTCGGGGGCCGTGCCCTGGCTCGAACTGAACCACGCGGCGAGCTGCGAGAAGTGGAGAAACGACCGCACGGCTTGCAACAGGCTCCTGGCACTCATGTGTCCGCCACGCAAACCTTCCTTGCTGTAAGGCAACGAAAAAAAAAAAGAATAGCAAATAATACAGTGAGACCCCCAAATGTGGACACCTCGACATGCAGACAATATGACATAGGGACACTTATTTTCCCGTAAAATAATTAATAAAAAAGGACCAACATGAGGACACTGGGACATTTTGTGATAAAATTGAAAATACATTTCAGGACAAATTAGAAGAAGCAAATATTTCCAACCCTAAAATTGAAGTAAGAAAAGTTCTTGGGCATTCTTTTAAACTTTTTTCTTCATCTAGGTGCATGATGATAAGTGAAAACTTTCCGGTTATATCTCAGGGGGCAAAGAATTTTTCAAGCTAGCTCTAAAAAATAAAAATGAATAAATAAAATAGGTATATCATGTAAGTCTAATGGAAAATGAGACTTGACTGAGGGACACTCTTGAAGCACCAATTATGTCCACATTTTGGGGTGCAGGGCGAGGGTGGTGGATTGGCAAGAGACAATCTCACTGTATATAGAGGGAGAGAAAAGTGATGAACGACGCAAAAAACAAAAGGAAAAAAATGGCAGGGGTGGGGGTGGAAGGTGTGAGAAAAGGGGAAAACATGCCCATGATCGGCTATATTATGGAAACGCGAGAGGGGTTCTCGTTTCCTCATCGGGACCTGGACAATTGTGCAGACACATGGAAAAGCTGCAGATCCGAGGTTTTTTTTTCTCTCTCTTCTCCCAAAAGTTCGGCGTCAGTCTAACAAAATTCCCTTTCCGCATGAAGTACTGCAGTACTAAGCCTAATCCTGCTAAAATGGAATCCCAGGGTCTCGAAAGAATATCATTATAAGATACACAATACAATAAAAATTCCATATTTTTTTCTGACGTAGCAGATTTTCTTTTCCCTCAAGACTAACTTTTTTTGATGCCAAACATAGAATATTATCGAGAAAAATGATACAGTACAAAGGTAAATCTGGTTCCAAATAAATTCCAGGGACTTAACCATTTTTTTATAAAAAAAAAGAGACATCAAAATCAAGAATTCCGTTTTTCTTTGACATGGCAGATAATTTTCCTCAGGCCTAACTTTTTTCATAGCCAACATAGAATATCAAGAGAAAAAAATAAAATTTTCATATTGTAAAAAATAAAATTTTCATATTGTAAAAATTAAAATTTTCATAGTGTAAAAATTAAAATTTTCATATTGTAAAAAATAACATTTTCATATTGTAAAAAATTAAATTTTTCATATGAAAAAGAGTTGCGAGTTGACGGGAGCAAAATGGAATACGCACAAAAGACTAGATTAAAATAATACAGTTTCAATAAAAATTATCGGATAACCAATTTTCTCAAGTCCTGAAGGAAGTCGAGAACACGGCGAAAATTGCGTTGGAACAAATTCAACATTTACGGCGAGCAAAAAAATTGTTCAATATTGTCCTGTTCATTTGAATTCATATTCGTGTCACTTGAAAAATTATTTGTGCGTTCACGAGAACATTTTGCAGTGAATCTCAATTTTCTCTGAATTTTTCTCAATTTCTTCGTCCGACGCTAGTTCATCACGATATTTTATTTCACTGTAACGAGTAGGGTTTATAAATCAACGATCTTTCCAAAGAGCCTCAACATAAATTCAGTAATTTCAGACATCTATTGCGTAGGCGTCGTTAAAACAGGAGGAATCATTCCATGACTGGATAAAGAACTCCAAACACGCAAAATAATGATTTCATCCTGCGCTTGTGGAATTTTCCGGTCTGAAATGCACAAATCGCGTGATCCAAGGATAATGAAAACATTCAGGGCTAGGCATGGAATTCATAAACCACAAGCCAAAATACTATTTAAATACACATGATTCTGCTTCTCTTTCAACCCGTTTACGAAGACAAAAGAACATTGGCTGACTAAAATTTTTATCAATTCTTCCCGTTTTCGCAATTCAAAGTATTTCTCAACATGATGAATTTTAAACAAAATACACTACCCATGATAAAATCAATCATGTGGACTCGAAAAAGTGAACGATTCATGACGAAAAGCCAACAATGAATGTTGGAACATACGTAAACCAAGAAATGATCCAGAAAAGCATCCGAATTATTTAAAACTATCGGAAAGACGAGTAATGAATGCGCTTCGAATATCGAAATATGGATATAATACGAGAGTTCTTGCGAAAGTTTTCCGAATAGAAATGAAAATGGCATCTAATTGAGCCGAAAAAAAATTCTTTAGGGAAAACATATTATTGTGAAGGCGGATATTGATAAAAATGGCGGAATTACCTTGGATAGCCTGGAGGCAACCCTTGGAATTAATGCCACGTTGATTTCAAGAATTCTGGGGGAAAGCTGGGCTACAATTGAAAAAAAAAAAACTCGGGAAGGGCGACTCACCTTTTGAATGGAGAGCAAAACTCAGCCAAGGTGAATTTTGCAAAACATTCAAAAAAAATTCGTCAAACAGGGCTGATTTTTTTTTTGGTGCCTAAGAATATGTTTTCCCCAAAGAATAATTTTTTTCAGCTCGATTATACGCAATTTTTATTTCTTTTCCTTGAACTTTTGTTAGAAACCGTCGTACTTATAACCTTTAAGATTGTCGTAAATGGATATTGAGACTTTTTTCCGTGCGAGATTATTTCACGGAAATCGACAGAATTTTTATTTTTTCACTCAGAAGCATATTAATTCAGCACACAAATATCCGGGAATGACGAAAGCGGAAATAAATGAGACGAACAGAAAATATCAAGTGAAAGTTTTCATCATTTTCAGCAAAATAATCCCAAAATGTCTTTCCTCTCTACTCACGTGGAAAATTATTCCGAACTCCCACAATCGACAATTATAAGAAATTCAACAGACGAAACTTTAAAAAAAGGACCAAACAAATCATTCAGATTACGGTATCTAACAGGATTTTATCTCACATTTCTTTTTTACGATATGACGACGAATTACTGTACAAGCCTGACTTCGTTAAGCTCACGCATATTTTTCACAGCCTTTTTTTGCACTGAATCTCATTAAAACGAATAATCGATTAAAATGAAGCATTTTTTAGGTCTCTCCCCAATAGCCAAAGTGTTGAAAGAGTTCCTCTACAAGGAATTTTCGTTACAACGAAGCTATTTCACTAGTCTCACGACTTCGTTTTAACCTAATTTTACTGCATAAGAATGAAAATACTAGATACTGTAATTGATGAATTAATTAACAAGCCAGAGTGAAAATACTCAATACTTTAATTAATGAATAAATTTAAATGCCGCAGAACTCGGCTTGCATTTTAATGCATAAATTTATCGCTGAAGAATAACATGTAATAAATTTAGTAAAATTCTCGCGCTTTAAGAGCTCCCAAAATTTCTCATCGCAAAAAGGATAGCTAAAAAAAAGTACGAAAAAATCAGAATACGTGAATAACACTTGAAAAGTAGAAAATGGGTCCGATTACCGTATTCAGTTAGGTTAACCATTCAACAACAAGGCAGAAAATGTTTTCTAAACCAAGATCTACTAAATTGATAAGCACAAAAAAATTAATTCCAAAAGGTAACGATGACGGACGAGCCCCCTGATCTCCTTTGTTCAAATCAAGTTCTCCAGACGTCAATTTACTATCTCTCTCTCTCTCTCTCTCTCTCTCTTCTCTCTCCGAGACAGGTTAACAAAAAGTGGATCATCACGTCGAACTAGACAGGGTTTTCACTCTCATTACTTATACTGGATATAAAATATAAATGCGAGAAGTAGAAGAAAATACCTGCAAGAAGGAAAGTACCAGAGACAAATACTCACGTCGCCGGAGATATTTTAATGGTCCACTGCTCCAGCATTTTATATCCTTGCTCAGGAGCAGCGTAAGCGTCCACTTGAGAGCACTTCCATTCACCATGCAGGCAACCAGGCGCCAAAAACACTTCCACACACGCCGGCAAATTGTTCTTCCACAGAAAAAGGAGGTAACGTTGCAGATTTTCGTGCCTCATGCACTGAAATTGAAAAAAAACAAGATAATACAGTTAGACCCTCACATGCGGACACCTAGACCTGCGGACAATTCAACATAGGGACACTTATTTTCCCATAATTTTTTTTTACAAAAAAGGCCCGACATGAGGACACTGACTCAACATAGGGACATTTTGTGAGAAAAATTGCAAATACATTTCAGGCCAAATTACAATGAACAGATATTTCCAACCCTAAAATTGATGTAAGAAACGTTCTTGAGCATTTCTTTCCCCAATTTACCATCCATTTAGCTAATTTAAATAAATTACCTCCAGCATAGAGAGACTTCCTTCTCTCTTTTACACTTGAATGTTATTTTTTTTACAGAGAATGCCAACATTTCCATGTACTGTACAGAGGTATCAGTTTTCAATTTCCCAAATGTCCATACTGCGTTGAAATATATTGATTGAATCAGTTTAAATTGGGAGACAATTTTTATTTTCATGGAATTATGGTGAGTATTTTTGTCCATAAAATACCAATTAAAAATTATATAATGTAAGTCTACGGGAGAATGAGACTCGACTTAGGGACAATTCGACTTGGGGACTCTCTTGATGCCCCAATTACGTCTGCATCTCGGGGTCTCACTTATTTTGAGCAATGTATATTCATCAACAATTTCAACCTTTGCTATTCTTTGGGATGCTCCGATCGTAGGTAGATACATTTTTCAATTCCTTCAGGATGTCCCGATTTCCTGGATCTAATGCCGCAATTCTTTCCCACTTCAAACACACAAAAATTTGTTGCTGTTTTACGTCCAAACACGAGCAATAATTTTGAGTTTCAGTACAACTCCATTTTGTTATTTGGTAATTTAAAACACAAAATTTGAAAAATTTTCAAAGAAACATGAGAGTTCGGTCCAAGAACAACAAGTGAAAATCAAGTACCGGGAAAAGATCGGTGGCATGAAGCAAAAACGATAGTCTAACGAAACATGCATGACTTGAATCACAAACTAATATAATATCAACATGAACTAGCACAGCCTAACTCGAAATTCTACTCGAATTTGAGCGCATCTGAAGTCCAAAATGCATCACTTTAAACTAGAAAAATAAAAACAACCGTGGCATTGATCAATCATGTGTTGAAAATGTTGAAAAAATTGCACATATGTTCACGAAAAATAGCATCACTAATTATGCGAGCGTATATCAACACGAACTAACTCTCCACTGTTCAGTTGAGGAGATGCACAGGTTTCAACATTTTTAAAATCCCCCCCCCCAACTTTCACAAAGCCTACATTTGATAGTGTGTCCTGATCTTTAATAAGTCTAGATCGAGTCGGAAAGATTTGAAGAATTTCGAAATGCCCGGAAATCGAATTGTTCGACTTTCGGAGACCTATATCAGTACTGTACAGTACTCAATATTCCATTGTACTGAACTCAAAGAGAAAAGGGAAGAAATGTATTGTAGAAAAAAAAATACAGCGGACAACTTTAACGTACAGGTTCACAAAGCAGCTGGAAGAAAACATGGTCCGTGAGAAAAAATAAATAAAAGTAACGTGGAAAAAAATACCGTTACCAACTTCAACGCATGGGTTCACACACACAGATAACTGCAACTTGAAAGGACTTCAAAATAATTCGCAACACACACAAATTTTCTTCATTGAATTCCTTTTACAAATAATAACAAATAATAATTTCTAGATAAAAGACGGCCACGCGCGTGAAGGTTTCGCGGTCAAAAGGCACATTTGTCTTCCAGTAAAGCGAGACCAAACACTTGCGGGTTCGGTTTATAGTACAGTATTCTATTCATATGTTCTCTTTCTTTCTTTCTTTCTTTCTATCTCTCTTTCTCTCTCTCACCAAACGAGTACCTGGTGTACTGGTTGGTGCTCTTTCTGTTCGTTAACCTTTCGCACAGCTGATGAAAACGGGCATCCGTGTTCATACTTCCAAGGGGGGGGGGAGAAGGAGGGGGGACTGGAACCAATCCCAAATTTCCCCCACCACCAGCAGCACCACTCGTATATTCCTTCACCCACCACCAGAGTTCATTCCACCCCCTTTTTTTCCACAAGACCTGCTTTTCAATCGAGAAAAGAAGCTTTCAGGGAAGTAGAGTGAGGCCCCGAGATGAGGATGTCATTGGTGCTTCAAGAGTGTCCCTAAGTCAAGTCTCATTTTCCCTTAGACTTACATTATGTAATTTTCTAGTGGTGTTTTATACACAAAATACTCACCATAATTCCATGAAAGAAAAAATTGTCTCCCAATTTAAACTGATTCCATTCAATACATTTCAACACAATATGGACATTTGGGGACATTTTTTATTTTCATGGAATTATGGTGAGTATTTTGTACATGAAACACCAATCAAAAATTATATAATGTAAGTCTAGGGGAAAAAGAGATGTCCGCATCTTGGGGTCTCACTGTACTTTTCAGCTTCTGGGTTTCTTTCTTTCTCTTATTTTCGCCTTCACGTTCCACTGAAAGCGCGCCTTTCCTCCAGGCGACGCAACAGCTCTCATTAATTCAAACGCTCCCCCCTCCAGAAATATAAATGTAAAAAAAAAAAAAAATTGCTCAATGCCTGCCTGCAAGGGACAGAAATCAGCTTTCTCATTCCTTCTTTCCATTTTCTCTTCTTTCTTTCTTTCTTTCTTTCTTTCTGCCTGTTCCTCATCATTTTATTCTACTTTTTCTCACAAGAAGCTCGCAGCAAAGCAACGTTGCAACAACCGCCGGCAGCAGCTGCATGCAACTTTCCACCACACAAGCAGGGGGAGGGATTCCTCCAACACATTCGCCTTTCATCACACACACACACACACATACAAGCGTTGGCCTCGATTCAGACGAAAGCCGTGACCTGGTTCCCCCCTCCCCCCCCCCCCCGTTCCTTAGTTTGTTTGCTCCTCCTCCCTCGTCACGCGATTCGAACAACGTCATCCTTCTCAGCAGTTTTTTTTTTTTTTATTTTCGCGCAATGTTTCCACTGGTGTGTTGTTGATTCTCGTTGCCAAGATGCCAGCTACGGGGTTTTTTTTTTTTCACTGAAAATAAGCGAGAAGCTATTTCTTTTTCTTTTAGAGAGAAAAAGGGATATACGAGAGGTCAAACGAAATTGCGAAGAAATACAATTGAGCTGTAAACAAATATCATTCACAAACACACCCAAAAAAAAACATTCTTCGAAGTAAGAAAAAAAATGCGGTCCCATTTGACACACATTCTTCGGAACTTTTTTTTGTTTGTTGCAAAAGTCACTCGAATAACTTTTTGCTCTTCACTCAAAATATGAAGTGCCCATCTCGAAGACTATTTTTTAATCTTTTAGGCGTACTCCATCTATCCCTGAAAATTCTTGAAATCTACACAGCATTCATTTCAATGGGGGGGGGGGGTTTCCGCAATTCATTGACTGATTATTAATCCCGCCATTTTCATTCACAGACGCCATTTGGAATGAGAATGTGACGGCGACTGTCGATGAGAATGGCGGAATTACTTCGGAAGACGTGAAGGAAATCCTTGGAATGAATGCTATGTCGATTTCACAAAGTCTGAACTTTTGTTAGACCCCTCGCATAGAAAGATAAAGAGAGAGAATTTTGTCCCACGAAGCTTCAGCGTTGATTATGCATGTGACAGAACGAATTCTTCAGCACACGTTTGTTTACTTGGCACAAGCTTCTTCTTGTTTGTTTGAGGAAACAAAACAAAAAAAACTAAAAATTCCGAATTCGAATGTATTTACCCAGAAGCTCTGATGATTGGAAACCTTGCGCTGAAAACGTATAAATAATGAATGAATTTCAATCAAGACTCACTCGGACAAAGCAATACTTGAAAATTTGTAAACACGGTTCAACAGAACAAAATAAAAGTAGGACAAAATAAGAAAATACAAGTAGGACAACGCCAGAAACAGGGACGTGCTTTTTTTTTTCATTCTGTCGTGATAATTATTTTTCGTCAATGGGGTTTCTTCATTTCTTCATATATTTTTTAGTGATTTAAAACCGAAAATATCGGCAAAATCCAAGAACTGTACAGTACTCGGAAAATAAAAAAATTGCTGTAGTACGCGTAAATGTAGACACTCTCCACGAAGATTTTCTGTGTATACCACACATTCCTTTTTGGTTCCATCGGGCATAGGGGTCCACCAATATTGAAAAGGATCTTTACAACGAAATTCTCCTGAAAAAAATTTTTTTTGTTCCTCTGAAATTCACATGGTTTTTTTTTTCAATCAAGAAACCGCTCACCTTTGTAAGCTTTCATTTTTCCATTAGAAATTCTTGGCTCGTTGCAAAAAGAAGATAAAAATCTGTTATAAACCAGAAATTAAATGAAGTAATTGCTTACTATACAAAGATGAAAAAAAAGAGTACGATGCAAAATATTTTCGCGAGGGTCGCGAACTTCTTGTTTCACCTCGTGTCATATGGATTCATTTCACGGGTATATAATATTTTATTTCATTTTGCGGAATGGAGTAGGTAAATATGGCTGCTGGCATTTTTCAAAAGTTATCTTTTTGTAAATATTTAGTTGAACAAATCCCTCGCCACGGGATTCTTGCGTCCGTGACCTCTGCTGGTTCGCGACCAAGCACGCGCCTATTTTAAAACCAGGGGCTCTCAACCTGTCGCCATGGAAAGCATTGTAAATCTCTTCACCGACTGCTTCAACAATTTTTTTTCTTTCTCATCCCCTGGAATGCTGATACAGCAAAATGCCCCTTGAGATACAAAAAAGTTGCACAGGATAACATTTTCTGGCATAGTGCGGAATCACCGAATTTATTACGCGAGTCTTCGCTGGAATTTCGCGTGTTTATTGAAAGACCGCACCCAGAGTTTTGGCAGGCATTTTTGGAGGGGTAATTTGTGTAGTCCGAGAAAATGAATTGCAGTTTTGCGTGGAAATGTGCTGGCGAAATTTGCTCGTTTCTTTGAATAAAAATTTCAAGAAGGGGAGAATAACTGCCCTTTTTTTCTTTAGATCAAAGCGTGCTAAGAATATTCCTGGTGCTCAGTACACAGTACTGTAAAGTGAAATTACTTTAAAACTAATCTTGTAGTAAAAAAAATTCCTCTGATCCAGCAATGAGACCCCCACATGCAGACACCTCAACATAGGGACATTTATTTTTCTATAAAAAAATCATAAAAAGGCTGAACATAGGGACACTGACTTGACATGAGGACATTGCATGATAAAATTGCCAATTAATTTTAGGAAAATTAACATTTATTAGGCTTAATTGCAAGAAAAAGATATTTCCAACCCTCAGATCTAGGTAAGAAAAATTCTTTGGTACTTTTTCCATCACTTTCCCATCCATTCAGCTAATTTAGAAAAAATTCCCTGTAGCACAGAGGGACTTCCTTCTCTTTTTGTGACTTGGATGTTATTTTTACAGATGCCAACATTTAAATGAACTGTACAGTGGTATACTATTCAATGCTCCAAGTGTTCTTATTGAGTTGAAAAGATATTCACTGCATCAAATTCAAGTGGCTAAAACACCAATTAAAAATTATATAATGTAAGTCTACGGGAAAAAAAGACTTGACTTAGGGACAATTCAACTTAAGGACACTCTTGATGCACCAATTATGTCCGCATCTGGGGGTCTCGTTGTATCTTCATAAGAACCATGTTACAAAAATTTCGTTTCAATCGTGGTTAACAATCTACTTTTCACTTTTAATTTCAATATATCGCATACTTCGGCTTGATGACGTGAATACGACACTAGAATTTTTATTTTATAGTAATGAAAGTTAGTGTTTATGATTGATTTGCTCGATATAAGAAATTTGTTTCTCTTCAAAGGTCACTCAACAATTGATTTTGGTTTGAACTTTTTCCGCTATATCCGTCGCTCAGACTTATACGAGCACTGTTTCTTGATTAAATAATTTAAAAATCGGCGTGAATGGCATTGAATATTCAGCAGGTGGCTGCGATGTTTTTTTTGCAGAATTTGTCTTCCCCCAGCATTTGAAGTAAATGAGATCGTAAATCATTTCAATGCGACCGTGGATTCCGTTAACGCTGTCGCATTTTACCAACAGGTGGTTTCGATTAATCTTTTGGCCTTTATGCCGGGAGTTAAAAACCATAAATGCTGCGAATTTGGGTGTGTTGGCAGAAATGTGGCCATGGCAGAAAAAAATTCTGAAGGAAGGTTTGCATACGTTGGTTCTGAAATTAATCATTCCCGGGGAGTTCGCGCTTTCAAACATCGGCGTGAAAAATTCCACGATCATTTGTCAGGGTTCTTTGGCTCAAGGTTTTTTTCATTTTGTTTTCAAGACCAGAAGTTCAACTTCGAAAGAAAATTAGTCAAACCGTTTTTTCAACCATTTTAAAAAATTTACTCAATCGTTCCTGAAAAAAAGCAAGTGAAAACAAACCCTGGAAGTTTTCTTTCGCCGGAAAATCTCCAAGTCAAAAAAATAAAACGGAGTAAGGGTTCAATTTGAATATTATCAGCTTTATACCACGTTTACGGTTAATAATTTTTGCGTGAGAAAAAAATTCCAAATTAGATTAGAAAATGCCCTTGACAAATTGGACGCGTGTTGATAAAATTTACTTCGTCACTCTCGTCAGCTGTTTTCGCGACGGGGAAATTCTAAAAAAAAAAAACCTACTCCAATTGATAAGGTTCATATTCCAAGATCAGAAGGAACTTGAAATATAATTCCCTTTAAAAGCGTATCATAAAATTTCCTTTCAAAACCGCACTCAGCAACAACGGATGACGCAACTGCGGCTAAAATCGTTTCAGCTTTCTTCTAATCTCTGGAAAAGTCTCCAGACACGCTTTCATTAGCTCACAGATGACGCAATTCTCGATAAAAACTCCGTGTTCAAATCAGTACTTCACCAGAAAAAAAATTAAGTAATTAAAAAAATAAAATATCAGAATTGAAAAATTAAGAAAAAAAATTTACCCTCAACTAACAGCGACGCACAAATTTTACCGATTTGAGACGGAATTAATTCGACATTAATTAAATAAAGATTTTAATTACTCCACAGAGAAGAGTACTGTAGCATAAAGACCACACTTGACGATATTTAAATTTGCTTAATACAGGGTTTTCCCAGAATAACTCCTCAGATTTTCGTCAGAAAATAAGGGCATGTCTTTTCGAAGGCATGAAGTGAATTTTCTACTGAAAATAATTGTCAAAAGCAGTTAATGTCAGGAATGCTGAAGACAGGGTGGACCAATAAAATCAAGCACAATTTTAAATATCGCGGCTTCTTCTCGCAAATAGACGGAAGTTCAAAAAGTTCAGACACGACATCCTATAATGTTCATTCGAACGAATTCCGATTCTAAAATTATAATGTACACTGCTGTAGTTACATATATTTGATTAGCAAGCTCTATATATATATATATTATTATTTTTTTTTTAGAAAACTACCATGTCTTTTCCCAGGATATTTTGAGCTGTTTTCAAGAAGTTGTTCCAGACACGCGTGAAACTAAATGTTTGCAAGAATTTAACCAGATCAAAATTTTTTTTCGTTTTCGTCCAAGATATTAGGATTGCTTAATTTCAAAATTTTTCATTTCAGTTTAGAAAGGCTTCCACGCATAAAATCGCAGACATTTTAAAGCTGAATCACACATTGAAAATAAATGAAATTACGCACATCACATCCAGGAAAGAACTATGTATATATCAAAAAGGTCACTGAATAGCAATTTTTACTTTGGTCTACAAATTGTACTCCTCCTTTTACTATTCATTCATGCATTTATGTTACGTCGAATAAAA